GCGGTCTGCTTGGGAGCAGCGGCCGCGTTGGCTGCCTTCGCCGCCTTTTTGGCACGCTTCTGCAACCGCTTCTTCAGCTCTCCCTTGGAGACCATCTCCCCGGTCTCCTCATCGAGCTGAAGCTTGGCCGTCGCTTCAACGACAGCGTCCGTCATGATGGGCGATTGGTCTAGGGGAATCGAGGATAGGAGGACAAAGGTCGCGTGGTGACGGTGCTGAACGACAAAAGATTGGACTTATCGGCGGGGTGGAGGGGAAACTTTCCCGTGAGTGGCTTATGTCATCCGTCGGGTGCAGATCACGTGGTGAGGTTCCGATAAGCGCCCAATTGATCGGCTTATCAGTATGGTCGTGGACCTCGACAACTTTGAGCTTTGATTGCTTTTTGGTAGGCACGTCGTGCAAGTAATTCACCTCGCATTGATTGTTTGATATACTCTCTATAATAGCATATTTAATTTTGACGATTATCTAAGATGGGGTATCTGCATACTTTTCATGTTGTACTGACCATGACACTGCCATTGTGACTCATTTCGGGTGATTCAGTATATATCGGCGTTTCGTTGGCGTCGGCAGGATAGTCACGACCATATGACTCAATACCTATATAGAATCTGAGGCGAACTCTGCTAAAGCGGCCTCGATCTTGACTCTTTTGCTAAGAAATAAATAATTGACTCATCTAAGCGCAGTTGACTGGCTAAAGCGTGTCACCGCGTGGGTATCTATCGTATGTCCAAATCATTAATATGTACAAGACAAGAACGTAACTTTTATCTCGGCGACACACTATATCGAGCTTTACGGATAGCGCAATTGCCCAAGCGTGTGAGTTCGGCCACAAAGTCTGCCACCATTGTCATATGCGCCGCTTCGTTATCTTTCAAGCGTTGTAGACGAATGCCCTTGATAAGGTCAGGGACTGAACCAAGAAGTGTAAGGTCTTCCTCCGCACGCGGGTCGAGTGGAAATAGCAGGATGTTGCAGAATATCGTGAGAATAGCAGACATGGGGTAAAAGGTGATCATCCTTTTATGGTCAGTGCATGGAGTTAATCTATGGTGGCGAGTGTAGGATATAGGAAGCAAGACGAAAAAGCTCACCAGAATGCCTCCGGAAATATCGAATCGATAGTCGGGCGCAGAAACAACAAGGTGGAGCGACTTGCTTCCACCGCGAGTAGCATGCTCGAATTGATTCCCTCCATGACCCCAGTGTCGGTATTTGCCCAGGATTGACAGCGGCCCGCCGCTCGATGGATCGTTACCATCAGATAGTGGTATTCCAGCCGAGAGACTATAGCTTGCATGCGAAGAAAGGGATTCTCATGACTCTCGAAAGAGTGTCCTAAGGATGGACGAAATTTAGGCGGGACATCCATGCGCCAACGCTCCAGCTCGTCATCGAGCTCGCGAATATCCTGCAAGAGCTGGGCATCGGACTTGAGCAGGGACTTGGAGGAGTACAGTGCCCGGTAGGCCTTTGACTTGATCACAGTCATGCGCAGGTCGGCCGGAGAGTGAGGAAGACCAATTTGATCAAACATGGATCTGTCGGCGCCTTCGTCTTCAAGATACTGTATCTGCATGTAATTGGCAGGAAGAGAGAGGTTGCAGTGTTCATCATCAATGATCGGCGGCTGCCCCGATCGGAGACAGATTTCCTTGTCATGGGTATAGCAGAGCCAGAACAAGTTCCGCAGCTGTTTGTGATAACGCCAAACTCGATCCTCGACATCATGTGGTGACGGGGCAGCCGGTCGCTCGTTGGGTAAAAGCTGGGCTCCTAGAGAAAACATGACCCGACAACCCATGGCGTGACATTGATTGGCAGCTTGAAGTTGACCAGAGAAGACTCGATTCATGGTCTTGACGTGTCAGCATGCTTTGTCATTTTATGCGGAAAGATCCTACTGGAAATGTAAACTGACCAGCATTAACATTGTTTGAAAGGTGGACAGGCTGACGTTGTTCATGATTTGAGGCAAAAGGTTCTGTGCTTTGACCGCATATACGTCCGCGTCCACCGCAGGGAGGTTATCTTGAGGCCGGAGGATCATTGACATGAGTGCCAAGAATGCCATCACACACATTTTGGCGCTAATAATCTCCACCGGTGGAGGCCCTTGGCATGAGGAATAGGCGAGGTCGACAGTCTCTTTGAATAATAAGGAGTCGATAAGAGGAAAAATGAATCGGATGAAAGAAGAAAAGTACTGCTGGACATATTGATCCACGATGGATCGGTCCGGAAGATCGGGGACACCCGCATAGCCGTGCAGTGCATGTGAGAAGGAACTGAATGGCTGTGGTGTCGGTCGTTGAGGCTGAGAGGGCCAAAGGCTGTTGAATCTCTTGTCTTCGCCGGTGCGTGCCTGCACCCATTCCTGACCGTCAAGCGAGAGGCTTGGAATACCATTGTACGAGTTTAAGTCGCCCACATAGTGACCTGCGAAGTGTATCTTGCCAAAGCACAGACCACTGTTGGAACGAGGCATGTAGTCGCTGGCTGAGGGACCATTGGCCGACGTCCGTGGGGGGCCGAAATAAGCGGCCGGGTCCGATGGCCAGGACCCTTGGGAGATCAGCGACGTACAATTCCGTTGGTGCTCATTGGTCGGCATAGATCGCACCAGAAGCTGCTCCAGCTTCGTTACCCTGTCCTCGAGGTCTTCCCCGGGGGGAAGCTGCTGTCGGGGCGGGCTGCCAGGATGTTAGACGACTTGGAAATGATCCGCAACGCACGATACGTACTGAGTCATGGGGTTCGGCTCATTGGCGGCTCTCTTGCGCTTACTTCCTCCTATGGGCCTATTGAAAGTGCAGTCCAGATCATGGTGGCGGCACCAGTTGCATGGAATGGATGGATCACACTGGATCTAAAGAGCGGTCAGGCAGGTTACCCAAAAGGCAGCAAGAGGATGAAGATTTACTTTTCTCCGGTGGCACGAGTCACAGGCCCGGGCCGTGCGGCGCAAAGGGGGCGCCGAGGGGGGACGCTCACCACCATCCGAGGATGGAGTGGAGGTGGACATCTGCATGAATGAGGGCTCAAGGGTCTGTCTAGAGCAGCAGTGGACCAATCGAGATTAACGGAAAACGTCCGGAGCCATAGCAAGCTCGGGGATAAGGGGGTATAGGGCAGAGCTAGGATGGATGGCCGAGAGATTGAGTGGGATGCAGTCTCGGTGTGCGAGTGTGAGAGGTCGGAGGCAGAAACAGGCCCGCCATCGGCCCGCTGACTCAGGCTCGTGGCCGCTGACTCAGCTGCTGACTCCGCCCAGCACCAATCATCAGTAACTCCGAGCATCCACTGTCGAGGCGGAGGCCTTCCCATACTCAAGGTGGAAATTAGTCCCGCAGTGTTCAAGTAAACCGATGGTGGAGTTTAAACCATATTTGGCACTTCCCAGCCATGGTTTACGCTAGGTGCTTGACGTCCAGACCTGTTATTTAAGACAATGTGGACCCTGCGTCAAGCATAGATGTTCTCATTAGGTTGATCGACCAACACACCAATTTGTGAAGTATGCAATGCATGCCCTGCCAGGTAGTGTTCAGTATCACATAATCGATTTAGACAGGATAATTAAAGAGAGACTTGTATTTTATACAGCTATTTAGAAACTAAAAATCATTCTTAGCATTGAACAAGCATATCAGTTACTATCACCAACAGTCCCAGACCTCAGAATAAGCCTACTTTTGAGAATTTGTTTCGAGGGAGAATAGCTTCTGATCTTCTTTGGTGCTGCTGTGGGGAATAGCACATATTGCTGCTAATTTAGTTCCATTCTGGTCATCATGCCAAGTAACGATTTCAACCTATTCCGTATCTGAGATAAACCCAAACATCGATGAAAATTTCTTGAAATATGAGCCTACGAAGCATGATTGATGTTAGACAGCCATATAGCTTCTGCTATACTCCCAGGAGATAGTGCAAGGTAGCTTAGTACAAGAGCGGATTAACCACAAATTTAAGAAATTTTTTCACTTCTCCGAGCTGTAAAACTCCCATCCGAGCATTCCTGATCTTGACGAAATTTCCCTACTTCTCCAAGCTGTGGAAAATTTCCATTTGAGATGAACCTATTTGACCTTCTGCTTCTTGTCGCGGGTCATCTTCTCATCTCATCGGTGTTGGGCTTGACAAGGTGGCGTGCACACATGTGAGGAGTATTAAAATCCAGCTCCTTTGTAGAAGGTTCACATCTCACATTTGTGCCCACGCGTGCCTGGCATTGAACGAAGCGTGTCTCTCTCAAACAGCCACAAGTGTATCTAGCGAAATACTTGATGCATATCTCGATGACTAGGTCCCAATTAATATTGAAATAAGGTATCTAGCTTAAGGGGTAGAAACTTACTTCTTGAGTTCAGATGTACGAAATTGTAAGACTTGACAAAGCTTCCTAGATCGACAGGACTGTACTCAAAACTTTTAGTGACCCAAGATTACCAGTACCAATCCTATCAAATATACTTTGAATGTTTTAAAAACACGAGATCTCGGTGGATCTAAGAAGCTTTTCTGGGCAGTTTGCAATGTGGCTAGACTGGGTGGGACGCAAAAGAAATGGAATAGATATTTGTTGGATCAGTCAACTTGGGGGTTTCGATGATCAGGTCAAGGGTTGAGTTGTAGAGGAAGGCAGTTCACAGAGATAACTGGAGGAAAGGTCAGGTCAATGGAGGTTCAGATTCATTCACATGATCAGAGTAAGAGATCCACATCTTTTTATTTCTCACATTCACCAGAGCGAGTGTGTTACAACTTCTCGCAGCTTCTTCTTGACTCTGCCTATCCTGCCACTTCCTATCTTCCTACTGCCTAAATTTCACTAGCCAACATCAGTCTTGAGATCTCGACAGTAAGATTCAGCAAGTTCTTTCTTGGGCAGAGATAAGACGACTTGAAGGTATTAAGATCATTACAACAATCTCCGGTCGAAGCTAAAAGAACTTTGGATACTTAGGAAAGTGTCCAGTGCGAAAATGAGTAACTTCCCGGAGATCAAGTTACTCAACAACAGTTGCGACAAGAAAACGGAAAGCTACTTCCGTCTTCTGGTTGACGGCAAGCAAGTCAAATATCTGACTGTCGAACCGGACACCTATGAGAATGACGAAATGTGCTTTCCACCACTTCTATACACTATCCTCCCCAGGTTCCCCACTGGGAATTGGAACGATGGTGTTGTGGCCAAAGATGAAGACGGTCGCCCCTACTTTACACGTATCAACCTGACCGACTTTCCCGGCGTGGAGAACACCTGGCAAACCTACTGGACGCTGAGTTGGGTGGCAGAGTTCAATTCGAAGTTTATGAGGTCAAATGTCCACAGTTTGACGACATTGTGGTCGCCAAACTCCAGCCCTGGTACTGGTATATGGATTCCATGGAGAACGAAACTACAGTCTATCAGTGGTTGGACGGCCTCGGGATTGGGCCTCGTTTCCTTGGCCATCTGACTGAACATGATCGTGTTATCGGTTTCTTCATGGAGCGAATTCCTGATGCGCGGCACGCTACATCTGAGGATATTGGCCTCTGCAGGCAGGCGTTGTCTCAACTACATGCCTTGGGGCTTCGGCACGGCGATACAAACCGACACAACTTCCTTATCAGCAATGGAAAGGCTATCCTGATTGATTTCGAGTCTACCCACAAGTGTGACAATGAAGACCTGCTTCGGCTGGAGATGGAGGGTTTGTCTCTTTGTCTTGCAGATACTTCGGGCCTAGGAGGTACTATTACCCTTGAAGACTTTCCCGGGACGGACGAGGAGATGATGGATCCAGACTGTTTCTAGAAGACGTGTGAACCCTGTCATGAATGGATCTGACTGCTGACTTTCAAGTTTGTCTGCTTACTTCTCTGTTCATGATTGATATGACCACTGTACCTTTCTTTACTTGTCCACTTTTTATGATGCTTCAAGATAACTCTTTAATTACATATCTACAGACAGTCATCAAAAGATATCTAACCACTTTTCCAGCAGTCCAATAAACTCAGGATCCTACTTCTGATACTCATCCTGCCACCGCACTCGCTGCACAAATCCCAACACCTCCCTCAGCTTTCTATTTGATACCGGTGCCTCTCTGCCCACCAACTCCCTCGTAACCGGCACCCCAGGACAAACCCTTGCCAGAAAGGCCTTCGTCGATTCCTCAAAATTCGTCATCTCATCATTGACCGCATTGAAAACCTGAAACCCCAACCCATCTACAACTAACCCCCTCTCCACCATCCCTCCCAGATCCCTTGCATCCGTATACGCCCAACCATGCACCTTCCACTCCTCCGGCCGCTCCACATACCCCGTGAACTTCTCCTGGAACTCCTCCGGACTCACCACCGCCCCAAACCGATACACATAGATATCCGTCCCGGGAAACCGCCTCGCAAACCCAGCAGCAGTCTGCTCCCCACACACCTTCGAGATGGCGTACGCATCCATCGGCTGCGCGAGGACGGACTCATCCACCGGGAAGGAAGCGTAGTCGACGTCGCCCTCGGCAAACGCGACCCCGTAGACACAGATCGACGACGCCAGGAGGACCTTGCGGATACCCATGTGACAGGCGGCTTCGAGGACGTTGTAGAAGGCCAGCACGTTTCCGCGGTACGTCTCGTTGTCGGGGACGATCATGTTGCGCGCGTAGCCGGCGAGGTGGATCACTGCATGAGGGGCTTGGTGGAGTGGTTCGCGGAAGGGCTCGGTCAACGCGAAGTGCGAGTGGAAGGCGCTGTGGACTTGGCCGGTGTCGGTGAGGTCGACGCGGATGGTGTGCACGCGGGCCGCGAGCGGGGCCGGCAGCGGATGCAGGTCGAGGTTTAGGATGGTGTGGTTCTGGCGGAGGAGATGGGCGATGATGAATTGGCCGGCTTTGCCAGAGCCGCCTGTTATGATGATGCGTTTGGACATGGTGATTCGGGTCGCTATGATGAGGTGGTTGAGGTGGACTACGTGGTGGTTTTGTTGATATGATGGAGGGGAGGATTGCGGGGTTTGTGGGGCCCGGGGGTTGCGGGGGATTGCCGAATTGGGCGGATGTTTGTTTACTGGGTATTCGCAGATGATGATAGCTAGATACTCCGACGAGAACCATTAATTTGAGAAGAGATACCTGGCTCATTTCTTGCCTTATTTTATCAAGCATATAAATATTTAAAAACGAAACTTTGAACTGTATGCTGCGCAGCAATCCTATGTGCAGGATCCAAGCTGACATCATTAGTGCCAATGCTCTGTAATGATCTGCTGCTAATTCATCCCGCGTACCCCTCACATGACATTACACCAACACCAACCAAGCTAGTCCCTCCACTCCTTTCGCCATCTTTCTCACCTTGACTTACGCCCCTCTCTCTTCATCCATCGCGAAGGAGACACCCTCCCTCGCCAGAAAAAACCACACACCTCCCACAACCCCCGCAGAATGACCAAGCCCGCCAACCGCCCCCGCATAGCCTGCTTCCACGGCGGCGGCTCGCGCGCGTCCGTCTACGAAGTCCAATGCAGCCACCTCGCCAAGCTCCTCGAACCGGACTTCGAACTCGTCTTCTTCGACGGACCCTTCTTCCGCGACGCCGGGCCCGGCGTCCTCCCTGCCTTTCGCGGCTACGAGCCCTTCCGCTCCTGGTTCACGCAGGATGGCTCCGGCACCGAGCTCGCCGACGGCAGTGGGTACGATATGACCGGTCGGGATGGCGTCGAGCGGATCTGGAAGCTGATGCGGGAGAGAGACCAGCACAGCCCCGGGGGTCCTTGGGTCGGGGTGATGGGGTTCAGCCAGGGGACGAGGCCCGCGGGCGGGTTGTTGCTGGATCAACAGCGGAGGGTTGCGAGCGGGGAGTCAACGACATCAACAACACAGGGGGCGAGCTTGAAGTTCGGAGTTATGTGTATGGGGGCTGGCGCGCCTATGGTGGCGGAGAGCGCGCATCGTATGTTCATCCCCTCTGACGATTTTCTGGTCAAAGGCTTACTGTGAGGGTTGACTGTGATGGTTGCAGGGGCAGAATCCGACGCCGAGCTTGTCTCTATCCCCACGATACATGTGCATGGCTTGAAGGATCCGGTGCTGCCATTGAGTCGACATCAGCTGGCGACGTATTATGAGCCTAAGCGGAGTGAGCTGTTCGAGGTGGATTATCACCATGCCATGCCGTGGGTGAAGCACGAGGTGGAACATCTGGCGTATTTGATCAGGACAGCATACAGGGAGAATAGCTGAAGGGGGTCGAGACGATTCAGGAATTGGAATATGCACTTGAACAGAAATCGATCTACACAGATAATATTATTCACAATTACGCCAACGCAGCCAAATAGACTTATTGCCCATATATCATGTCTCATGCCAATCAGTGGGCAGCCTTGCTTGCTTCAAACAGAGCAGGAGGAATCCCCTCGTCTGCAACTGCCTTAAGATCGTCCTCGCCCATCTCCCCATCCCAACCGTGCGCAACCAGATAAGCACGGAACTCCTCATCGCGGACCCGCAGATCCTCCCCGGAGATATCCTCCACGAAAAAGTACGTCACCAGCACCCCGACCACACCGCAAATCGCAGCGATGATGAAAGTCCACTTTTTGCCCAGATGGTTTTCTATCGGCGTGAACACCTGCGTCCCGATCGCACCGCCTGCCTTGCCAAACGCAGCCGAAATACCATAGCACGTGCCCCGCACGCCGGTCGCGTACATCTCCGACGAGAGCAGGCCCAGCATATTCCCCGGACCGAAATTCCCGGAGCTCTGCATCAACCCGTAGAAGATCACGAATAGGGGGATAATCTTGGTGATCTTATCGTATGCACAGCCGATGATCAGGCCGAACACCAGGTAGCCGGTGAATCCGATCATCATGATGTTCTTGCGCCCGACGCGGTTGCACAGAACGGCGCCAAGGAAGACGCCGGGAAGAGCGATCACGCCCAGCAGGAGCTGCCATTCGCCGGTCTTCATCACGGAGCTGTCTTTGATGACGGAGGAGATGATCGTGCCGGAGAAGACGCCGTTAGGGAATGTGACAAAGTCTAAGAAGGCGAGGTTGTCAGTCAGTGACTGTAATTGTTTGCCACGAAGTGGAAAGAGGCTACACACCGTACAAGAACCAGGCTCCGCAGGTTCCAATCAGAGACTTCCAGTAGTATTTGACCACAAGGATGTAGGGGACATGCTTCTTGATCGCGCCGCGGCGGTAGAGGGCGGAGTTCATCATCCGGAACCGGAAGTAGAAGACAGACAACGGCCAAATACAGCCAATACCGAAGCAAACGCGCCAGACGGTGCTGTAGTGCGACTGGTGGCAGGCGGAGAGGACGATCAGGAAGATCGCGACCGCGAATGGCCCGCCAAACGAGAGAGGGAAATTGGTCACCATGATGAAGGCCGGGCCGCGTTGCTTGGGGGTCAGGTCGTTGGCGGCCTCGGATGCTGATGTCGATGAAGCGGGATATTCACCACCGGTGCCTGTTAACCGTCAGCTACCGCGTTGAGTTGCGAGATGTGTCGGCACTCACCGAAACCAACGATACCACGCGCTACCGTCATCATCCAGAACATTCCGTCGATAGTGTACCCGTTCGATGCGGTGGCTAATATTCCTCCGACCACGATCATAGCCGTTGTAAACACCAGAGCGGCCTTGCGGCCGAGGTAGTCACAGGTGAGTCTGGGTGACGTTAGCGCTGGAGGATGGCTGGGAATTGTTATGGCTGCGTCTTACCCAATAACAATCTGACCGATAACTTCACCGACCAAGAGAGCGTTGGAGACCCGAGTCTTGACAGCTGAGGTGTACTGCTCCTTGTATTGACTGGCAAGCAGCACGTTGACCATCGTCCTAGCCAGCGGTTAGCTTCGTGAGACCATCTCGGCAGGAAACGCCTACATCAAGTTGTTCTGGTATCCATCACTGATCAGGGCAAAGCCACTGGCAATCTAAGACTCATATCAGAATGAGTCGTCTGCATGACAAGAGCCTGCGGTAGCTCACAATTGTGATAAGGTCCGAGAGAGTGCGGCGCTTCTTCTGGGCTTCCGCCTCGGAGATGGTCTCTCCGTCATGAGAGTCGGCCTGAATGACGGTTTGGAGATCTCCTTTGGGAGCAAGTGAGGCGTCTGGTGGTGCGGACATATTGCTAGACTACCTCAAGCGCAGTGGTAGAGAATAGCACAGAGTCTTTTGCAGAAAGGTTGCCTTTGTGGTGAGGAAAAGTCGGCAGGAAGGCGAACAGCCCGTCCCTCGTGCTTTATATCCGGGTTTGGAGGCGAATGACAGAGACTATTGGTGGAGGCATGCTGGATGTGACCTTAATCCTGTTGGAGTAGTCAGTCCAGTCAAGGCTGCGATTATCGGTGCTATCTCTCAATCAGTATATTGATTCATTCCTTGTCCTGCAGCCACTGGCAAGTCACTAAACTGGATATAGACAGGGCCGGCCAACTTGACTACCGAGCCAATCATAGGCAGAACTCGGCCCGTTCCCACCTGGGGAATACCCTCCAATCACATGACACAACAACTGCACGTTCCATGTTTGGGGCAGGCACGTGTAGCTTATCTTCGCTCTCATCTCTTGCTGTGGTGTTTGTTGATGCTTTTCCCACCCAACAACTGTCCCCACGGCGAAAGCTTTCAACCTCTTAGCCTGCGCTTGATAACTCGGGAGGATCACCTATTGGCGTGCACACAGCCAAGAATGCGCCCACGTGAATCAAGCAGCGCCAACAACGCCCTTCCGTAAGGCTGACCTTGATTATGTGGCGCGCCCACCACGAGTCGTCCGGTCCGAATGGGAAAGTGCTCAGACGATGAACCATGTTTCCTCCCATTTTCCATGACTCAATTCGAATGCTCGATGAATTCCGTTCCCCATGCCACACCTGTCAGGAATCAGACCACGCACGGTAAAGGCTGGCTACGCGTCGAAAGGCTTGGCAGAAACCATGACCTAAATGCGTTGTATTCTCTTCATCTATTGAAATTCTGCAGCAGTCGCTCTTGATCAAGTCTCCGGGTCATCCCTCTTCATCTTCATCACATACGGGTATCACAGCCGTGATCGCGGACCACGATGAAGCCTATGCCACGCCTTCATTTGCCAAGCGGGCACGTCGGCCGGGCCCATAACCTGTCGACGGGTCCAATGGCCAATTGTCTCCCCCAACGTGCTTACCCGCAAGGGAGCGCGAAGGAAATCATTGTAGCCAGTTGCTCTCTCCCGAGACAAGTTGGTTCCGGACGCCGACGCCGTCAGTCCGATGAGCGGAATCGTTTGCAGTTGGAGATCGTTACAGAAGGGCGGCTGCGTGCGGATGATACGAACCAAATCGTAGCCACTCATTCCTGGAAGGGAGGTCTACACAAATAGTCAGTTGGAGCTCTAAGTCGGAACGGTGAACGATAGGGTGATCCGGCAACACGCCTTTATGAAGATGATATGTGGTAGGGTAGGGGCCGTGGCCAAGTGGTCGAGGGCTGCGGTGCCAGAGCCGATGGCAACCACCTCACAGCCTAGTCTTTGGCCGATGCGATGACACAATTTTTGGACGACAAGACTAGATACAGTAATGGCAGTCAGGAAGGGTACCTGCAGCAGTTTGGGGACTCTACTTGTTCTCAACGAATAAGAGCTGCATTTTTGAGGTATAGATATCGCTGGTGTATCTCCGGGGGTTGGCGCTGCTGCCAGAAGTGGGCTGTTGAAGTGAGATTGTGAACAGGGTCTGTCTCCGATTAGATCATCAACGCTGACGAGGCTGTGTCTGGTCCGTGCGCTGCATTGGATCAGGTGTGGCCTTGGCGTCACTGAGTAAAGACCATCCTGTAGTCTGGTGTAGTTTGGAGTTGATAGTACTAGGTAGACGTTGGGTAGGTCTGAGGGTTCGACTCGTAGAGAGAAGAGTCGGGCTTATTTTCTTAGTTCTCCAACTGGTCGCTGTGTTAACTTGGTTACCACCGACGTCACTGACAGTACACCTGATTTCGCAGCATTCAGTTGTCAAGCAAACTGTACCTTCCAATGCCTTCCCTAAGAAGTTTGTTTGAAGTCAGCTTCGATACTTGATCTGCAGAAGCAAATGCATTCTGTCTTGAACTGCACCATTGCATCTTATCTCACGAAGGGAATTTCAAGAGGGACTGGGCTGGCTCTGGTCCGTCTTCTGGCTTCCAAGCCCAGTACAGAGGTGGCAGTGGTCTTCGCAGCCGCGGGCCGCACGAACACAGGCTGATGCATTGACACAATTGGTTGCGCAGTCTTCTGGGCGCGTTTATCAGGTTGAGATGGATGTTTCCGAAAACCGAAACATGGGGCCGGCAGCTGCGACCGTCGAGAAGGTCTTGGCTGGTCGGGGACTCGACGTACTACCTAGTCAAAAACGCCGGGGTCATGCCATTTGCGCCCGATGGAATTGAGACGATGTAAGTGTAGGCAGACTGCGATCATCCCAATCTGTTGACTGAGAGTCACTAACCTCCAGCAGGACCGACTTGAACTCCACCTTTCGCACCAATGTGACCGGCGTTCATATGGTCACGAGTGCCTTCTTGGAATTATTAGAACATGGTACTTTGGAGGCGATCAACGTGTAAGGACCTCACTGCTCAACAATCGCTAAGCGCTAATGTGAGACCTCAGATCCTCCACCTTTGGTTCCATCGCCAGGGCGTCGAGGTCTGTCCGTGCCGCAAGATCACCAAGGCGGCCCTCAGCATATTGACCGTACAATATGTCCAGTCTTTTGCCAGAGGGTTTCATCTTCATGATCATCTTGCCTGATGTAAGCCTCCTCAACGCATCATGTCTCGTATTTGAGTTCTGACAATGTACAGTGCGTAAAAGCAGATTTTGGAAGCGACAATGCCAAGTTGACGCCCGAGCAGAGCGCCACCGCCGTATTCGATCTCATTTCTTCTGCGACAAGCGCCCACAACAGCAAATTCATTCATATCTATGTGAATGGGCTGAGCTTTTACGACGGTGCAGAGGTGCCATGGTAGCTACCAGGTAGTTTTGGTGCCTGATGCTCAGAGGCCAAAACGTGAAAGCCCCACCTTAACATTATCCTTGGAGTAAGAGAGTACTGACTACGAAGTCTCTCATTGGAAGATGAATGAACTTGTTCTGGCGCCAGAAACTCGAATAACAATCTGTTTATCTGCTTCGAATTCTTTGGACGTTACGATTTCAAGGTAGTCGTCGACTCCTTCCACATCCGACCGACCATTTCATCTCCCTGATGACTACTACCTATGATTTGACTGCTAAATTATCCGCTATTGGGCAATAAAAGAATACTCTTGCTCTCTCACGAATTTTTTTGTCTTACAAAATCTCTCAATCAAAAACTCTATTAGCAATTCAAGGATTGCGGCGCTGATCGTATACTCAGAGTTAGTCAACTGTACGCCTAGTTTACTGTCATGCGACTGGCTAAATGACTGAGGTAGACTCGAAGAATGCTGGGCAATGCAAGACCTGAGGCCAATGCAACCCCACACGAAGGAGCGCCAACCGATGGTATGTTTGTCGAATCACTTGCTCATAATAGAGGTCTTCTGATACTAAAAAAAGACCTGCCTGCCCTAAGCCAATGGAATTTCGAAAGCGGGGTGCTGTCGATCGCACGGCAATATCGCTCGCTCCCTGCGGATCAAATCCTGGCCTGCTAACCTTAACGAAACCTCGGGTCACCAGATCTCGACCTTGCCTTTCCTTTCTCCCAGGTATCATCAAAACAGATGAGCCTCCTTGCTTCGAACCCATTGACTGTTTGAGTATTGATTATTGATATTCCTAGAATGATATATGGATTCCATCGCGCCCCCTTGATAGTGATCTCGATCTGACAGGTCACATACAATTCACCCCAGTCTGGTTAAGAGTCCCTCTTTTGGGCACAATTTCTGCTTATGTGAATAGCTCTCACCGAGACATCTACTTCTTGGCAAGGTCACACTGCATCTGACTGTTCAGGTCTCGATGCCAGAACACGAATCCAGGACGTTGTTGACGTCGGACAGATCTGGCCAAAAGCCACGCTACCCGCTATGCACCGCCGAAACCACCAACCCCTTCAATATTGTGTAACCACAGCGAAGGCCACTTTCGCTAACTGACGTGACACTACCCTTTGAATGTACTGTAGATATTGTGTTGCCAGAAGCACCATCAATGGATCTGGGGTGGTAAGTTTGGAATCCGCATAATGCTTTTCGGGCACTGGATGGGTTTCGGTCAGGACTCGTATTACCCGCGCCGCGTTGGGAAGTATACGAGCTTCCGCATTCAGAACCCTCACTCCCATTATAGCAGATCATCACTACCACGATGCGACCTACGACGAACACAGTGAGCTTTCACAACAATATCAAAAGGATATAAAAAGAGCTCGCTTGACCATCTGCTGTCGTTCATCACAAACACTCAAGCAATCGCTCCCAAAGCCTGTAACTAAACTATCTGCTCATCAACCCTGAACGTACTCATCCATCCTTCATCAAAATGACCAGAATCATTGCCATCCTCGGAGCCCTTGCCACTCTTGCCCTGGCGGCTCCATCTCCCGCAGGCGACGTCGTTCCTCGCGCCTGCACCACTATTCTCCCTTCCTCTGTCGACGTCCTCGACAGTGCCCACCCGAACACTGCCAACGTCGGTCAGCGCTTCACCCTCCGGCGCTCCGGCTCCCCAGTGACCAACAATAAGATCTCCGCCTTTACCTTCACCAATATCCCCGCCGGGGCTACCGGCTGCACCCTCCAGGTCAACGTACCGCCGTTGACCACAGCCAACCAGATCGCCAAGGGCTCCAACCAGGCAGAGTTCTGGACGACCACACCCTGGATCGCCGCGAACGCCCCGACCTGGAGCAACCCGCCAACCCGCGGCCAGATGGTCTCTACCTTCCAGTTCCCGACGGGGGCGACCACCACCCCAATTCAGCAGAACCTGGCGTCGAATACCTGCTCCAACACGATGAGCTTCTTGGCGCTGCTGAGCGATTGGCAGGGGGCTGAGGGGCAGGTGGATTTCACGCAGGGCGCGGATCTTGGGTTCAAGTTGATTTACAACTGCTGATCTGTCTATCTCTTTCAAGAGTAGTCTGGGGACTGGGTGTGGTTGGTACGATGGAAGGATGGTCAAGTTGGATAGTAATGTCATGGGGAATTTCGGGGTTGTTTTGTCTGTTAATTTAGCTGATCGAAGATGCGTCTATCGAGACATTTTGACGGAGGGATACAATCAATCAAGTGAAGCATTGAGCTGCGAGAACATTGTCATCTTCTAGAGTATGGACTCTTGACTCTCTGCTCCGGCTGAGGTCTCCAACAGACTCGGTTCGGGAAAGACAGAAGTCGCCTAGGGAGGCTTGTGAAGGTCTAGGCTGTGAAGATGATTTGATTTCGGGTACAGAACAGCATGTGAATTTAGGTTTCGTGATGCATTAAGAATTACCTATGAAAGTATGATTCCAATTCCATAGCAGTCAATGGAAACTCTGGTGTTGGAAAAAGTGAAGGTGGAAAGCATGCTAATTTTAGTCGCGGACAAAGAAACCGCAGCAGCTTCGGCTCATCCCGCCAGTTCTTCCTCTTTCCTTCCTTCCTTCCTACTCTCTTCATGCTATTCTCAGCAGTTATCGATTCATCAACCATCATCCCTCGGTGTCTCCATCATCGTCTTCATTCTCGGTCAAATCAAAATCACCATGACATTTGCGCCAATAAGGCGGACACGGCTTGGTGGGGGAGATGAGCAACAGGTAAGAACGCAGCGGCAGAATCAATGCGACCGGACAATTGCCAGGACCATGAGGCTGGGAATCGATTCCGTCACCGAATCCTTCGACTCCTTGGCTTGATCACGGGACCATTGTCTCCGTGCAGGATTTGTTGCTATTCCGAAGGATTGTGCGGGGTACGTGAGAAGCTTATTGTGACCATTCTTCGTTGCCATCATTGCGCTCGACTCGACTCGTGGGAAATGACATCGGTACTTGAGTCTGCCTCAGCATGACTTGATACGAAATGGAGCTTCGGTTATGCCTCATCTAACAAGCTGTCGGAAGATTGTTAGAACCGGATTCTTTCTTGTCAAGACTGACACTTGCACGTACCTTCCCCAGTCACAAGCTATTTTAACAATCGATAATCGCCAGCCGTAAACGTCTCACACATGCGGAATAAAGCCCGTCCATGCTACCGTCTGGAACGAGCTGACCGGTAGTCGCCGCAGACTGATGAACGCCTCGACGATGATATACAACCGCGCAGGAACTAAGCACATGCTGATGAGGGTAGAGATTATGTCGAGCACCCACGGTCGCCATCCCGGCGGTCGCTCCGTTGGCTGAATCCAAATATAGGTCAGCGACCGGTGACCCTTGAACCCCAGAGCTGTCAGAGCCACCCGCACCGTGGTAGCGAGCGGAAGTCCGGACGCCAGTACCAGGGCACCGATACGCCACAATAGCCTCTCCGTCGGGGTCGGAAACAGGTGGTTCCATCCCAGACAGTGAATGGCAGGATGTACCATCGCTTGGACCGTCACTAAAATCCAAGTCTGCCGGCGCATGTTGATCACCGGGATCTTGTCGTCGGGCATGCGCTGCAGTGGTCCCTCCTCCAGGCCAAATTTCTCCAGCGTGGGCCGACGGTGCCACCGCTGCATCGGCTTCTCCACAAAATCTAGGGGGGTGTGCTGAAACTCTTCCACGGAGGTGTTACCACCCTGACTCAGAATGGCGTTGACACTTCCATATTTGAGGTCGATGTACGTGGGTACGCTGACATTCTGCGGCTTGTGCATCCAGAAGTAGTAGCTCATCATAGTCGACAGTACGAATCCGAGCGAGAAGAGCTCCAGCGGGGTCACGGATAGCCCCTGAATGACTCGTGCGATCGCCTGTACCGCCAACCAAGCGGTTTGGACCAAGGCCACACATTTCGCAAAGACATCTGCCTTGCTCTTGTCCCAAATCTCCTCCTCGGTGATAGTTGGGCACTCGATATAGTCTGCCTCCACGAGGTACTGGAGGGCTGCGGATGTGATAGGAAACGGCCGGTAGTCGATCGATCGCAGGACAAAGCCCCCGCTGTTGGCATAAAAAGCGTGCTTCAGCGTCCAGTGCTTGTGGCCCATCCGGTGCATCTGCTCGACGGCTTGCTGTGCGGCCTCCCACTGCATGGCCGAGAAGTACACCAGTAAGTCAGGGGCCAGGATGGCCAGCATACCCCAGCGTATCTTGCGCATTATGACCACCATCAAGCTATCATTTGGACCAGGGATGTTCAAGTGCAAAACGGTGTACAAAGCTGTCGATAACACCAAAGCACATGACCAGAGGATGTCTATCGACCCGCGTACATTGGGCGCGTCAACCCAACCCGCTGTTTCAGTACCATTGCCGGCCATCACGCATCAGCCAGATTGTCACCAGAGGGAAGAGTCTGCTATGGATGCAGAGCGGAGAGAAAATTGTCACGAGAGACGCATGGGTTGTCGGGGGACTGTCTCAGGACAGACAGCGGTATAAATCAGATTCTGTCTCCCCCCTGCCGCTATGTACATCCCCTCACATAAAGCAGACACTAATTTGCGACGGACTTAGGTCGGCTTGGCTCTCATGCAGGAGAGGTCGCTCAAAATAGACAAGCGCAGGTAGATGGTGAGTTGACGATCAGAATACTGCGTCCATCTAGTGCCACGCCTTTTTGGCGGCACGCTCGATCCTCCAGAATTGTCTCTTTTTCGGATCTTACTATCATTTCTTCCACGCTCAATGGTCCGTTCCGCTGTGCTGATGGTTACACAAGTCAGTTTCGGGCAGACTATCGGCTGAAAAGCGAGACCATTCCTTCCACAACATGGCATGCTGACAGGAGGCGTGAAGAATGCGACCATGGCAGAAGGTGGTCAGCGAGCGGAGAAAAGTGGAGCAGAAAGATAACAGCGCTGCACGGGGATTCACGGCTGGATCAATTGAGTGTTGAGAAGCATTGGGGTTGACCCTGACTAAGTGGAGATCGGCAGGTGTGAAGGAAAAGTCCCGGGAAGGATGTCCCTAACAGGAAAGGATGGACATGCCGGCACTAATCTAGAGTCTTTGGGGCGTGTTTAGAGGCACGACGGTGGATGTCGCTTGTCCACCATCACTCATCCACATTGGCTGCTGCAGTACTTGGGGGCCAAAAGTGAGTATCCACCGTGTCGGACGTTTTTCTTCAAATGTGCCCTCATCTATTGACAATCTAATTTCAATATACTCATGTAGGTCTGGGCGTGCTGTGGTTGTACAATTTTCCGTGAGCACTAGAGTACTGGACACAAAGGCTGAAACCCCGTTCTCCTTGCTGCCCCAGACAGGGTTCGCCTGCACTTTCCACGTGCATGTTCGCGACCGCCTCATGGCAACAAGATTCCTACCTTCGGCAAAGCTAGTCCAAGAATAACTAGATGGGTATTCAGCTTGTCGTCTTGTTGAGACACTTGCCAGTGCTGATACTGCGCATGTTCCGGTTCCGTCGTCGTGCTTAGGCTCTGTGGCAGGTCTTGGAGTCTGAGACATGTCCCAATCGCACATCATTCAAGAATGAGTCAAGCAACACAGCCAAGCAGGCTGAGATGCGGTGTTTCCGAGCCCTGACCTGTCAGCAAGTCGTGGTCGACAGCAACCTGCCCTCAACCACTAGCTTAGTCTTCAGTGTCCCGATCAAATTAGATTAATTGTGACAGGTACAGTCCTTCCTATTTGATCACTAATCCGTCCCGACAGGGGTATCCCTTGAATCACGCAATACCCCTCTTTCTTTGGCGGAATTTGATGATCGTCTCCATTTTAGGTCGGGTGAAATATGGGGGCTATGCACTTGTGTATAAGTGAACCATTTTGCTGCGACTCGCGTTTGCCTACCTAATCAAGATGCTGCCGTTAATAAAAGCAGTATATAAAGAATCTGTGTATACTCTGGGCTGCTTAAAGATTACTTACAGAGTACATATCTAGAAACCCCGGTTGCTGCGAGATTGCTTTGATTCGCCTAGTTAACAATCTCTAACTAGTTTATGTTCATGTACTGCAGTAAACCATATAACAAAAGCAGATTTCTTAAACCATATATAAACTCATACTTTTCTAGATTCATAATACGAATATGATGTATAATACTGATATAGAGATGAGAAATTTAGGAACCTTGTTATCAATGAAGACCTGATAAAAGACCACAAGATCAAGACTGTCCAAATTCCACCTACAGAATGCATTAATACAGCCCAGATAGTGCTTCTAGTTTTGTTAAATAAAGAAATGAAGACTTTTATTCGAATAGAAGAAAACTGTTTAGACTGGTTGCTCTATAATCCTCTATTCACGAGATTTGGAATAGCACAGTAGGCCACTACAATGTGCAATTGGGATCTCTGTCACTATAGCTGCCAGACAGTATAATTATACTACTTAAAAGGCGGATTTATTTGCTAGGCTCTCGGCATAGACTCCTAGACTTAGGAGTTCTGGCGCCTAATCAAGACTAACGCGCCAAGTCAATCATAGGCGCTCTTTTACATGAAGGTGGTGGTATCAGGCCATTTTCCGTCCCAGTTTGACAGCATCTTGAACCAGAAATAACTGTTTACCTCCTTGGTGTCCAACGCTTACGCAGCTTTCAAGCCGGGGCGAATGAGTCACAGACACTGCATAATTAACACACTAGAAAGAACGCACAGTCCACTGTCAAATCTAGGGCATATTATTCTGATGGTTTGGTCGAAGCTTGGATATCGATACCGCAGTTAGGAGACGACACGCTGACACTCCGAGTCCCCGCCTTGACCCGCTCCTGCTTCCTCTTCCTCCACTTCGGCCCATAAAGGTACAAGACCCCCAACAGCGGCATCGCAATAACCATGTTTAGCCCGAGAATCGTAAATGACCATCCCCACCCCATCGACTCAATCATATAGTCAATGACTGCCGCAAACAGCGCTCCCAGCCAGCACCGGACCAGATCCGCCGCTCCCTGCGTTGCAACCGCCTGGGTCGGGTAAAGATCTATCAGCAATGTGTAGATAATTCCGAGTAGGGGTGTCCCGCTGAAGCCGATCAGACTCTGGAAGACGAGCGCGGCGGCGAGAGAGCAGTGGGTTTGAATTATCCAGCCGTAAGACAACAGGGATACTGAGGCGAGGAGCGCAAAGGGGACAGCAATTTGGAGGCGGGCGCACTCATAGGGGAAAGGATCATCTCCGCTGGGGTCCTTGGAGGGGTCTTCAAGGTTTCTAGTCTGCTGGCGTAGTTGCGTTTGGATGCGGGTGTAGTTGAAGTCGAGGACCCGGCCGCTGAGGATGGAGCCGATGGCGCCGGCGATGCCATAGGGTCTGTCTATCCTTAGCTCTAGGATCGGATGCAAAGGGCAAGGGACGGAAGGGGGATATTCACAGGAAGGAGAAGCCGACTTCCAGTGTACTTAACCTGTACATATTGGCAAAGTGGCTGCCAGTCGTAGCCCACATGGCCGTGACACCCGCATAGAACAGGCTGGTGAAGATGACAAGGATCAAGGCATCTTTCTCACCGAGAAGCGTAAACGCGCGTAGTATCTCCGCGGTATCGATCCGCCGCTTCTCGGTGCCTCCGGTGGGTGACGGGTCCTTTTCGTACGTGTGTGTATGTCGAGAGTCGCGATCACGGCTCAACCCTCGCTGAACGTTCTGCACCAGAGGTCGCCGCCACCACCCGACAGGTTCAACCGAGCCATCGCCAACAATACTTCGGGCTGTCTCCGGGATGACCACGAAATAAGCAAGCAGCGCACTCCCGCTACAGATCCCAAGGAACCAAAAGATACTCCGCCACCCGAACGCTGGCTCCAAGAGACCGCCAATTACAGGGCCGAAGGCAAACGCCCCCATCACACACCCCTGTAAGGGTCCGATATACCGGCCTCGTTCAGCGGGCGAGGAGATATCCGCTGCAACGGCGAATCCGAAAGGAATCGCGCAGCTACTTCCGAGGCTCTGCAAACAGCGGAGAATGATCAGCGCCGGGTAGCTGTTCTGCAGGGCAAGGCCGATGTTGGCCGCTGTGTAGAGGGCTAAAGTGAGCATCCAGGCTAGGCGGCGGCCCTGCAGGTCGGAGAGGGAAGACATCAGAGCCGGAGTAATGCCCTGCACCAGGGAGAAGACGGTGACCAGGAGATTCATCTGTGTTGTGCTGACACCATAATTCTGTTGCAGGATGGGGAGGACGGGGAGGACAATGTTGGTGGCGATCATCGTGGCGATCATGGCGAGGCTGGTCAGGGTGATAATAAAGATTTTTCGCGGGGTGCTGATCACGCAGTAGGGGGCTGTCAGAGTGACTTCACTGGAGGAAAAAAAGGGCTGCTTTGCAACGCCCCCTTGGGCTTCAAGGGTATTTTCGTGTGCCATGGTGTTCGTGGTGTTGGTGATGGTCCTCGTCCGTGACGGCCCCTTGCGGGAAAGGAGTTGCAATCCAGTTCTCGATCCATGATGGGGAAAAAATGGCTAATAAATAGATACCCTGCGCCTACCGGGCTCCCTGCGGTTTCTATGAGCCAGGGGAAATTTTTTGAGATGGTACAAAAAATTTGACTTTTGAACCATGGATGACTGGCACGGGATTACCCTCGGGAGTGGCTGTCACGGCGAGGGCAAAGTATATGAATATTGATGGAAGAGTCGCCACCCCCTAACCATCAAGTACAAACCCGTGGAACCGAACCTAAAGCGCGCAAGCCTTCCCTATTGTGGCCACAGTGGCCAAGCTGGCGTGCCCATTTTCGTGCCTGAACCAGTTACCGAAAGCCACGGTCCAGGTGTCAACTACAAAACCCTCCCAAAGATACCACGTACTATATGGGTTAAGGGGATGCTGCTTTCGGAGAGCTTGCTACCCGTGGTCAATATTCACACGCCGAGTTTGTCCGTGATCCTTCTCGGCTTCTAAAGTAGCCCAGTTCTAGAGTAGAAGGATTGTGATATTCCTGGGTTCATGCCCCACAAACTTCGCGTTGACGAGAGTCATTCGGAACGTATCACAGTCCCGGTGAGGTATATGTGTATTGTACTGGCCGGTGTTGGTCTTTTTTGTATCAAACACACGGTCGAGGATTGAGAGAACCTCTCTTAATAAAGTATTATCAGACAATCCTAAGGCTGAGGTGTATGAAATGGAGGATTGGGGATAAGCTCAAAAGATACTAGGTATATAGTTAAGATACATTCAGTTCTGGTCGCTAGTGATTGTTGAGAACCTTCATGAGAACTACACAAAACATATCTCTGTGCAGTTGTAGACAAACTCTGATAACTGTGATAAGGACCACCAGCAAAAAATTCTTCCGTCAAGCATTATTTAAGATGTACTTTCACATTCTCTTCAGCGAAAAAAAAAGATCAAGATAGACAAATGTCTTCAACTGCTTACCTGGCAGAGTTTGGCCTATTTTGAACTTTGACCCGGACCATGCGGAGCCGGCCCCCGCACTCTTCTAGAGGGAGAGGAAAGGCCTCTCTACTCACCAGCATTTGCAGCTCCTACAGGAGATGAGGAATGATAAAGTTATACTCTAGCTGACCATCCTTTCATAAGAGAGTACTATTGATGGGAGGACTTCATGAAGGCATATTGCTTATTCAGCTCCCTGTCCAAGTCGCCAGCTATCAATAGACCTTCGTCCGCAAAGATACCACTGATTCACGGTATCGTACGCAGTGATAGAACGTTCACAGGAGAGAGGCTACTGTTGTGCGATATATAGTACCATGGCTCGCTCAATGCTTTCAACAATCCCTCCTCGTACACGATCGCATGAGAGAGCATAACATCGTCATTGCGTCGTGAGCCTCCGAACTCTGCAGAACTACCTCCGCTGAGACATCGCGGCCTCAGGTCTGCTTTCTTTTCTGCCATCCATCCGAGTCGGCCCTTTCGTTTAGCATAAGCAGCGATGTCGCTCGCCCTGACGAAGACCGCGATATCAGGTCAGCTCGCGTTGTCACGAGCCAACTTTCTGGGACTACAGGAAGCTTCTGCCAGTCCAACTCAAGGCAAAGTCAGCTGTCCGGCGTGAAAGCGAAGGCTTCCTTAGCTCGCCTCCAAGGGTCCCCGGGGTCCCCCCTTTATACGCTCACGAGAATGCAGATAAGAAGAACGATTTAGCAAGATGTTGGCTATCCTCACCAGGGCTTTGGAACCCGACCACCTTTGCAAAGCGTCATGCGAGCACGTGGCTGGCCTGGACTACAAGAGCTGCGACGCAGACGGGGAGATCCAGCGTGATGCTCGAGACACCACCGACCCTAAGATACACTACTGTTCCTGAAGCTGTCGGAATTCCAGACACAAGGAGCAGGCAGGGCTTCGTAAACAATACAGGGTTGAGGGTCCCGGTAACCAGAACACCATGGTCGAGCCTGCTAGGGCCTGATCTCATCCCACAGCATGATGGTCCTGTGTAGCTGTCGACGGAGGAAAGCCGTCCAGCGCCGATCTACCGTGCATCGACCTATCGCTACCATGGCAAAGGATTGCAGATACGCTGTCAGTAGTGGTGTAAAGCCTCTAGACCCAGGCGCATCGCCAAAGAAAATATCAGAACTCTGGTATATGGATAACAAAGAATCGTGCGTGCAGCCGTGCACTGTTCTCGCCAGTGCGGGCCTTGACGTTATAAGCCCCACTATAGCATTCCCTTGGGCTCAGAAAGATGCAAATTCTCCAACTGACCCGAAAAGTTGAACCCAGCGCCCCGGAGCTTTTGGAAAGTTCGGTCGAGGTCATATTTGAGAGCTACACTGCGCATGATGGCGTAATTACTGTCAAGATAGTCGTGAGACAGCCCTCGTTGACGCGCTTCGGTGGCCATCCGCTGGAAGGCCCGGCCGACGGCGCGATGAACACATATGGTATCCTCACAATGCCTCCACAGGGTGTCCGCGTTGAACATGATGAATGGCTCCGTCCCCGCAAGTCCTGTAATGCTTCCGCCTCTGCGTGCGGCCCCTTGAGTCACGCCCGTGGTGACGAACTGGATTGCCAGCTGCGGCTTCAGGTCACGAACTGTGTCCAGCAGCGGCTGCATCTCCTCCTTCCAGATCTGAGTGCAGTAGGGTCAGTATGCCAATCTCGGCCTTGATGGCGAGTGTCCACAGTGTCGCCTGCATGAAAGACGGGTACTCCATGGCCATTTTCGTCACAAAACCCGTTTGGTGGCCGATGACGGTGGAATTCAAAAGCGGGGGGACCTTACGCATCTCCCGGTATGCTGAAGGGTTCGCAATGGCATCGCATTACATGACCGAGGCGCCCCAGATCCAGTCAGGCCGTGCGGGGTCGATGGGGGCGGTTGTGAGCGCGAGGATGAGAAAGGCCTTTGGGTCTTCCTGGCAGCAGATTGCGCCCGTCTGGAGCCAGGCCTCCATCACAGCCGCACCACGCTCATACTCCCCGCACCAATCGCCCCCCCCCCCCCCCATGCCTGTGTACGGGTAGGCCTCGAGCGTAAACGAGGTGACGATGCCAACAACCGCCCCGCAGCGCCCGATAGAGGTCGGGATGGCTCACGGCACTTGCATTGACGATCAGGCCGTTGGCGAGGACGACTTCGTAGAAGCGGACATTATCGGCTCCGAGGCCGTACAGGTTGGAGTCCCACGAGATGCCTCCTTCCAGGAGGAAACCACCTAGCCCCACGGTCGAGGCCCGACCGATGCCGTACTGCGGTCATCCGCGACGGTCACACGGTTCAGGCGAGCAAGGTCAATCAACTCCCCGTGGCCGTCGATGGATGACTCGCCCGGGAACTTCCCGTGACCGTTACTTAATGGGTGGTAAGGTGATGTGGCCAGAAACTGAAATCCAAGCTTATCGGGGGGGTTCCACCGCCCCTCGGTTCCCGGTGATGGGAGGCAAAGTTGTGCGCATGCCGCGGGAATCCGAAGTGCCGATTTGTTGGAACGCTGCGAGATTAGGTTGTGTATCTGATATCACACTTGACCAGATTACTCCAGTTACCCAAAGACGGAGACCCGATAGAGGGTTGATCCGCTTACGTGAAAACTGATCCCGCAAGTACGAGGGGACCTGTTCCGTGCCAAAGAAAAACACACTACGCCAAAGAAAAAGCCATAGGGAAACGGTGGTTGACCGATGATTAAGAGTGAACTGTGGTGGACGACTCAGCGCAGCTGTGAAAGAAACTCTCGCAACACCTGCATCACTCGCTGCGTGTGTTCCGCCGGATGGCAGATATTCAAGGACAGAAACCCTCGGAAGTCAATATAGATGGCCCGCTGCAAAAAGAAATAGTACATGGCCTCCCGGACCCGCGTGCTTTCGGGTCTCTCAAAATGCAGTCCAATGGCACTTCCAAAGCCCGTGACTTGAACGAGCCCCGGGTGCTGTTCCGTGACCAGCTCCTGTATCTCCTTTCGCAGATCATCGCCCAACTGGCTGGTTCGCTCAATACGGTCTCTCGTAAGCAGGTTCACCGTCGCAAGACCGGCAGACATGGATCACAGGTTGTTGCACCAAGTACCCGAATGCAGCACACTGCCGGGCTGCCGACAATTCCATGGTTTTCATGATTTTGCGACGCCCACCGTAGCATCCAAAAGAGAAGCCGCCGCCGCAGAACTTGCCCACGGTCGTCATGTCCGGAAGAATGTCGAAATATTCCTGCAAACCGCCATAGTACAGCCTTGAGGTCACCATCTCGTCGAAGATCAGAATCGCCCCGATCCGCGTGGCTTCGTTCCGGATGGAGGTCGGAAACGCCTTGGTCGCAAGGACACAGCCTCCGGCCCCCTGCAGCGGCTCCAGGATGATCACGCCAATATCCTCGTCGACGACCTGCCTGATAAATTCGTGATCATTGAACCGGCCGAGCACAAACGGATGGAGAAGCCGAAGCGGGTCGGAGGAAGGAAAGAACGAGGTGACACTGCCATGGTATCCATTCTCGAAAGCGAGCACCTAGGTAAGGCACAGAGGCGTCCACAGTAGTCCTGAATTCCCGAATTTTGCTGATCAGGGAAGCGGCGAGGTACAAACCTTTTTCTTCTGAGTGTAATTCTGGGCCACCGCAATGGCCATCATGTTGGCCTCGGTGCCGGAATTGCACAACTGCACCATGTCCAAGCTGGGAATGCGATCAACAAGCAGGCGAGCAAGCTCCCCCTCCCGGTCATTGGGCGCCCCCAGCGTGTGTCCAGCAGACAGGGTGGATTGGACCGCGTCGAGGATTGCGGGGTGCGAGTGCCCAAACATGGTGGCATTGTATCCCGACAAGAAGTCCAGGTACTCCTGCCCATCCAGCGATGTGACATGGCAGTCCTTGCCAGACCGCATGAAAATGGGGAATGGGTGGTGGAAGAATACGGCTCTCGTACTCCCTCCGCCTCCGGGGATCACCTCGCACGATTGAGCGTGCTGGGCCTCCGATTTGGGGTTGACTGCCAGATATTGGGACTGCAGCTCGGTGAGAAGATAGTCCAGCTTGTGCGATAAGGAAGTGCGACCCATGTCCGAGTCTTGCATTTTAGAAATTGTGCAATAGAATGTGAATCGATGGTAGAAGCAAAGGTAGTAAGTAGTATCTACCACCCAATCGTCGTCAGATATATCAGAAGTCGTGCTACTGTCAGTCTTGCCAATCGCGATGGTCGGGGGGGGGGGTTTGGGGGTGGAAGCCTCGGAATCCGGTTTGACTGCTTTTTGGCTGAAACTCCATCCGCGCATCCCGCGGGGCATCGCTATAGGGAGGGGAATTTGTCTGAAGCAGCGATAACCTGAGGAGGGGCAATCCGAGGGCCGAGTAAAAGCGTTCCACAAGGTTATCTATCGATAGCGCTGCTGGTCGATTGTCATCTGGCGACCCTTGAAATACGTCGGGTGAAAGCCTCGCCAGAATTGGAGTGCTTGTCCACACATTGCTTGTTCTTAACTCTTACCTCTCTATCACTCCATGGCTATCCCAGATCTAGTTATCCCGGGAGCGGAGCAGCTCGCCATCAATGGAGGTACTCTTGACAAGGCCGCCGATATCGAGCTTCAGTATGGCGTTGAGCGCGCCAAACGACTCTGACCGGATGGTCTGACGCAGTATATCGACACATTCCGCTCGGACAAGTTTCGACATTTCTCCACCGACCCGTGGGCATCGAGTTGTGATACTGTTCCGCTTCCGATAACCCACGACTTCCGGACAAAGGTGTTGATTGTAGGTGCAGGTTACGTCTCCCTGCTCTTTGCAGGCCGCTTAATTGAACAAGGTTTCAAACCGGAGGATCTTATCTTTGTTGACTCCGCCGCGGGGTTTGGCGGGGTTTGGTACTGGAACCGTTACCCTGGACTGATGTGCGACGTCGAAAGCTACATCTACTTGCCATTGATCGAGAAGACCGGGTTTGTGCCAAAGCACAAATACTCCTACGGCCAGGAGCTTCGTTACTACGCCAATCTTCTTGCAAAGACCCCGGGAGTTGATGGCCGAGGTGTCTTCCGCTCCACTGTGACCGAGGCTGTCCGGGACCAAGGCAACGCCCAGTGGGACTGCCAACTGAGAACGCACACGGGCGAACAGGTCACCGTTCGGGCCGACTTGTTTATCCTGGCCTCCGGGGTGCTCAGCCGCCCCAGGGTGCCTCGTATCCCAGGCATTGAGCACTTCAAGGGCCATTGTTTCCACACCTCACGGTGGGACTACAACTCCACGGGGGGCTCCTAAGAGAAGAGTGGTCTCGTGAATCTTACGGATAAGCGCGTTGCGATTATCGGAACGTAGCCATGTCGATACAGATTGTGCCCGAGCTGGCTAAATGGGTCCAGGAGCTGGTCGTCTTCCAGAGGACCCCGGCGGCAGTCGACATTCGGAATTAGTGAGAGACGGATCCGGTCGAGTTTCAGAAACAGGTCGCCACATATTCTGGATGGCAAAAGGACAGAATGATCAACTTTGTCTTGTTTTTCAGCAACCTCCCGCGCAAATCCGAGATCAATCTTGTGGACGACGCATGGACGATATTGCCATCATTCAGCGGGGTGGTCGGTGGCCCACACGCCCAGTCAATCACCCCTGACAATCTGGCTCAGTATGTCGATATAATTCAGAAGCTCGACATGGTCCGCCAGGACCGCGTGCGCGAGATAGTCCATGATGCTGAGATCGCCAAAGCTCTCCACCCATGGTGTTCGGGGTTCTGCAAGCGTCCGTGTTTCCATGACGATTATCTCGGCGCATTCAACCGGCCGAACTTCAAGATCGTCCACACCAACGCCAAGGGGGTGGAAGAATTCACGGAGCGAGGCATTGTCTCCGATGGGGTTGAGCATGAACTCGACCTCATCATTTTCAGAACGGGATTTGAGCCCTTCACCGTCGGCAGTCCTGCCTATCGCGCTGGAATCAGGATCAAGGGTCGTGGTGGACTGGACATGGACGACAAGTGGGCCGAAGGTGTCAGCACTTTTCACGGAATTCTTAGCCGGGGCTCTCCCAACCTCATTCTGACGGGGTATACGCAAGCTGGCGCAACGGTGAATCAGGTCCACCAGATGGGTGTACAGGCAGAACACGCCGCACATATCATCTCTGAGGCGCTGAAGCGTGCGGCTGCCGACGGCAAAAACAGGGTTGTCGTCGAGCCGACGGAGTCGGCCGAAGAGGAGTGGGCCATGCGGGTGGTGTCACAAGCCCATGCCATGGCCATCTTGTTGAACTGCACTCCCAGTTACACGACCGCCGAAAGCGCGCTCCGAGCGGATCTTCCGCCGGAAGTCCAGCTCAAGGCTGCTCAGGGCGCGACTTGAGGGGCTGGGATTCTAGACTACGCGCAGGTTCTCCAGGAATGGGAGGAGCAAGGAAATCTAGAGGGTCTGGAGGTGACAGCGGCAGCATCCTAGAGAGCCTACTGACTACAATGAATGATTAGAATTTCTATTATCTTCTGTGATGCATTCTTTAATTGGTAGACAACGACATATAGGTGCTTCTGCGGATCCAGCGGGGCTGCTGGGGAGGCGCAAAAGGGGAATAAGTGTCTCTCTACTATGTCTGATTTGTTGAACTCGCAGATCGTAAAAACGCCACTACTGGACACGCACGCATTCCGCGGACTCTGGTCCAGAACGAGTAGGAAACTCTGATCGCGTTGCTTCTATTAAGGCAGGCCAGCGCCCACCCCATCCACCCTCTATTCTTCCCATTCCTACCCACACTCTTTGAACCACCATGGACCGTTTCAATTCCGCCCTCCAGAACACCACTATCTATCTCGGCGTGCTACTACCTGGTGAAAACCCCCAGTACGAAAGACGCGCTCTTCGTGGAACTGGAGCAAAGAAGGGTGGAGGGCCACATGGGCCAGCCCGGCCAGCTGATGTCTTATGAGCAGACCACGCATTGCCCCTATCTCCAGGCAGTCATCTACGAAGCTCTACGCCGTCATCCGGTCGCCCCGGGCCCCCTGCAGCGGGAAGTGCCTGAGGGTGGATTGCAAGCGGCGGGATATTTTGTGCCCCTCGGGGTAAGTAGCTGCCGTTGATCAGAGCTCAGAGCGAAACCGGATTAACGAAGACAGGTGGTCGTGGGAACTCCAGCCTGGGTAATCAATCGCCTTCCGGAAATCTGGGGAGACGAGCCCGATGCAATCCGGCCTGAACGGTGGCTGGATAAGCCAGAAAGCGTGAGATGCGTAAGCCTTCCCTCGTCAGTCCTGCCCCTCGTCTCTATCTAGGTATAATAACCGTTACCTAGTCAAATACTTCTTTACCTTTGGCGCAGGAACCCGGAGTTGTCTAGGAAAAAGTGCGTCGTTTCTCTCTCTCTCTCTCTCTCTCTCTCTCTCTCTTTCTCTCTCTCTCTCTCACACAGTTCCAAAGGGCTTTCTAACTATTGTGCTTGGTACTAGATCTCTCCCTCATGGCAGCAAGCAAGGTAAATAAACCCCTCCCAATCCCATTGGTACTTCTCGCCTCACGCACTAACATATCTTCCAGTTGATATCCAACCTACTGCTTCGTTTCCAGCTTGAACCCTCCAAGTTAGTCCCGGAACGGACGGTCACAGGACAGTAAGTTTCCGTTCCACCGGTGCCTGGTACCAGAGAGATCAAGACGTAACCTGGAGCTCGATTTCTTAGCGGTCCGTACACCAGACCGACTTCCACGCCCCAATCCGTATAAGGGAATGAGCGAGCGGTTAGTGCCCCGCTCGCCTGCGAGACAGGTGGGAAGGCGGCCGGGTGGTGGCCAAATAGTACCTACTTAACTTAACTCCGATAATTACCCAATGAAGACGCGTTCGGAGTTCGTATCTCAATCGTATTACTCAATGGTACAACAGTTGTACCCCCTGCCATGGAGCTTATGCAAGCCGATCCGGGGGGAGCCGCTACTTGCAGCCGCCGTTATCATGCGCCTTTCACCCCGCGCTTCCCAATGATAAGCAAGATCAGTTGAGTTCGGCAATTCGGTATCATCAGCAGGCGGGACGTCTTTCCGCGCCTTCCGTGGGAAGATACCCTCCCTCTTCTAATTTGTCCTATCTTGCAGCCTTTTAACTTTATCGCAGCACCTTCACTAAGTGGTCGATAGGGGAGAGCAGGAATTCGCTCGCGCGATACGGTGAAGGTCAGAAGTCTAGGTCTCTCCCCACACTGACAGCAATCAGATAAACTCTGCACCCACACGAAGGGAGGGGGATGACTAACCTATCGCCTAGGACTTGAGGCAAAACGCGTGTATATAACATGGTCCAGGAGGTACCAGGCCTGGCTGTGTGCATCGGCAAGACTTGATCCTCGTCTTTGTTTCTTGTTCCTGTTGCTTCCCGTTGTCAAAACTCAGTGATGGAGTCCAGCCTAGCATACGATGCCAAGGTCCCTGTTGCGGGGGACGAGACCAAGGTCTCTTGCACAGAGGAAGCGCCCTCGCCCCGTGGGAGCTAGTAGCCCCGGGAAAGGATCTGAGAGAGATACTAAACACGATCAGTAGGCGAGTGCCTTTGTAGGCGAGCGGCCTGTGTAGGCGGCGACTAGCCCGCCCAACTGTTATCCTCAGATCGGGGGTCGGATGACATCCATACTGCCCTTTCATCCGCCTTCAGACTAATGTATCTAGCTACCTAGCAGCCTGCCTAATTAGAATAATTACACTTTCTATAATCTACTATTTTCGAAACTGAAATCTACTGTGTCTGATATTATTCTATATCTACTCCTGTAATCTATATCCTTGGATACCCTATGGCAGAGAAACAGAAACCCTGACGCAACACTGCTTAGAGAGCTTTTGCCAGATGAGCTTGGGTATTCTAAGGGAACGTGAGATTCATAGGGAAGATATGCCCGTGTTAATCCAAAGTGGGCCAGTTTGATTTGGCCTCTTTCCGGTCGCTCAATGCACCAAGTATGATGAGTCCTGACCCCAAGATATCAAAGGAGACATATGAACGTATTGACGGTGGGAGATCGAATTTGTTACGGAAGACGTGGTCAGGGTATACTGTACATACTTTACACATCGATGCTTCTCCAGCAGCGTCACACTCTGTAGAAACAACAAGGTAATACGGGTGAGCAATATTTGTCGGGCGGAATTAAATCTCAGACCGATTCAAACTGCTATAATTGTTCTACCACAGCTTCTCGAAAGATCTTCAGCTCTTGGAAGGTCAAAAGGTGAGCGACTCTTGTGTACACTGATAGTTTGTAGAAGCTCAGGGGTCAATCATGATCGATTAATTGGCGGTCCGGTCATCGGCTTCAATGAACATGGAATCCTTTGCCCCGCTGCCCTAACTTGGAACCTAAGGTACCCTTGGAGTTTTAGTTACAGTGGATCCCTGCTACTCCGATGTACTATGGACTTCTACGTTCTCTGTACAACAAGTTGATCAGCAATGGCTAAACGGTGCCTTTCCATAGTACCTGGTAGCTTGGTATTTAGCCAGGCGTCGCCTCTGCCCCTGCCGGCTAGGGCTCTTGCCTGGTGTCGATGGGGATGCTGGGACCCGGCGCTTTTGGCTCGGAGCCGGGGGAACGGGAGAAATATTTGCGCTGAGCGGCCCCTGGATTTGTGATACGGTGAGGGCCCATCTACTGTACTTTACTTTTCATGCATCATGTATCTCATCAAGATCCTTTGTCCGCACGCACCTATGGGATCTGCACTAATCACGAAGGGAAAAATAAGGACAACAGATGACGCCTAGCAAAGGATAACAAAGCTCACTAGATTAAAAGCGGGTATATTAATAAATAGAATCTATTATACGATGCTGAGAGTGGGGGAGGAAAAAAAAATATCATACGGCACAAAGATGGTCATGGACGACCAGCGCACAAAGTAGAAAAATCCAATCGATACTTCATCATATCATCTCAAAGCCTCATAGTACTTTGCTTGATCTATCAAGATTCGGAGAGTCAGTTAAGCTTAGTCTATATGGGTGGGGTTTTCGTACGGATCGGCAGAGATTTTTTGCCCGGCCTGAGCACCAGAGTACTCTCTGCCCTGGTATCATCAGGAGTCTCCTTGGGAAGGGGAGTTTGATCGTCAGTGGTCTGATTACTGTCAGCGTCCGCTCCCACATTTCCACCCCCTTTGCCAGTCACGGGAGTCGACTCACCTGTAGGGATGATAAACCAATCTGCGTCGCGCAGTACTTCTGGGAATTGCTCCAGGTCCAGCTCGGTACCCTGGAACACCATCACGGTCCAGCACCGGCGCCCGTCGGGCAGGAAGTCCTGGTCGATGCCCCAGACGCCGGGGATCCCGTACACGCGGCCCGAGATGGCGAGCCCCGTCGCCTCGAAGACCGCCCAGCCCGCGATCTCGACATCCACGGCCCGGCCGCCGTATTCGTAGGGGACCACGCTGGATAGCACCGCCGGGTCAAGGATGTGCTTCAGGGGGTTGAGACGTTCCGCCGGGACCGTGCAGATGCGGGCGAGTTTGCTGTCGCTGTCGCGGTCGCTAAGGTTGCTGGCCACTACCTCCCGCAGTTTCTTGTACCATTTGTCGTCCTGGCGGATTTCGGCTAGGAGTGGAAAGTACTCTGGACCCTTGAGGGTGCTGAGCCTGTCGCGTTTCTCTTGGAAGGGCTGCATTCTGTGGCCTGTCAGCGGGTCGATATGTGGTAGATATCAAGGTGATGAGATGTCGACCGGGACGTGGGTGGTAGGGTGCTGATGGAGGCAGGTTGAGGGCTGAGGTTTATATTTGATGAATTCTTTCAAGTATCCTTCTTGAAAGGACTCATCGACATGGAGAGTTTCTGACTGTCTTTATGATGTTGATGGAGATCCCCATCTTGTTCTCGTGGAGCGGTGTTTGTGTGTTATGGCGGGCCTGGTGAATTCTTTGTTTTCTCACTAGCAATGCCTTTGGGACATCGGCCAGAGAGTGAATGGATGATACTTTGATAGGGGATGAACATGCTGAATAGTGGACAGTTCTGGTTCTGATTGGGCTGTGGTACATGTTTATTGTGAACTACTGTCAATAGATGTCAGTTCTCACACGGCTATGAGACTCCGACCTCCTCGGCACTTTACACAAACAAGTGATGTGAATCTTATTGGAAGAGCTTCTAAGCATCCTTTCCTAACTGCCATTACAATCCAGAACAACATTTGACATCTCACTACTGACCTTCTGTACATCTCTGGTTTTACTTTGAGCTCACTTATACTTTTGTTCTGCGCGGTGAAAGACTAGGGGCCACCGAGCCTGAGGTTGGCAGTCATCTATCTCCTGTCTCACCAATTTCTTTAAGTCTCACTTGTGTGTAAATGGCAAGCTGTTCCCTCCTACAACTATTTCTTGAAATGACTGGAAGTTCTTATCATATTGTGTTGCATTCTTTGTACCTACTCCTAATGTTGTTGGGCTTAGAATAGGTATTACCCTTTAGAGCATGTTCTCCCGTTTTTGACCGGACTCTATTGCATGTATATACCGATCTTAATAGTTATTGTATAGTATATGTGTTATATTTTAAGTAAGATATGGTTCAAGACTGCTTTATATTTTATATATAAACAGTCAGAAAAAGAAAACAAAGAAAGAAAAGAACAAAAAATAAATAGAATACAGAAAATAGAAAAGGTAGCTAGGCTTGCATTGTGGCAGTATACCTCCTCGGTTCTTACACTAATAGTATAATAGTAATCTTTCAAAATGCATATTCAAAGGTGCTTTGTGACATGTATGCTATCTTCCTGCTCTGATTATAATCAAATTAGCCATATATGTAAAATGCTTTATAAGAATTTGATATTAAGAAAACGGAAAAAGTGATTTTAACCTTCTAATATATTGATTTTCAGTTTTAAGATCATATGTTAACTGAAAATCCTAGCTGGTTGGCCAGGCGGCTTGTGTGGCCAGCCCGCATGTGGATTACATTGCTCGGATAACTGCTGATATTGGTTGACAACTTTCACACTTTTGCAATAACAAAGGACATGGAATTTGGAGTGATAATGTCATTATTTTTGATTTTTTTTCTTTTGTGAAATGTGCTATTATAGTAGCCTTTCATCCCAATGTTGGCACAATGTTGGCACGAAAGTAGATGCTCATAATGGTAATAGAACGGCAGTGGGTAGATGGAACGCTATGGATAAAGTACCATCTTCAGAAAACCTCCGTCGCTGCCCAGTGGCCGCCAACTGTCTGGGAACTAATCGGAGATGTCCCACATGCTGACTCAGGCACCCCCTCCTCACGTGGACCAGGTGTGTAGGTCCGTCTGCATTTGTTCTTGATTCATTATCATCTCGTCGGCTTTGGCGTCATGGTTGCTCCTTTCATATGCAGGCAGTGCCTCACCAGATTTTCCACCAACACCCATTTGCGTCGACATGAGGAATCCCGTAGGCTTTCCTTTCCTAACGTGTGTAATACCGCTCTGCTGACCCAGCACAAACTGCTTAGATTTTCCACGACAACCACACCAATGCTTCTTTTGCGAAACAAGCTTTCACCGAAAGTGCGTCTAGACCTTCTCTCGAGGCGCAAAGCATGCTAAGAAAGTCCTGACTAGGGACACTGCCCGTCGCCACGCGAAAACATGTCCGAAAAGACATGGTCGGCCACTTCCCCGGTCCGAGAAGAAAGGAAGACCGCGACAGTCCTGTGATAATTGCGCTTACAATAAAGCATCTTGTGATATGAAATATCCATGCGGCTACTGCCAAAGCAAGGCCCTGGTATGTCTCTATACGCGCGTCCAGGCTCTTTTCCAGGAATCTCTGCCGGGGGTGCCTCCTCCGGAACAGGGTGTCGGAGCTGCCCATAGGACGGTAGTGGAGAGCGCCTCTGTGCCGCCTGGGGACTCTGAAGATACCTTGATTAAGGCGCGGATTCCGTTCCTGCTAAAATATTATAATACCCAAAACACGTTCTTAGACATGTATCTGGCGCTTGATTCTGGGCGGGCAAGGACTGTCGAGTCTTCTAACCCGCCCACCCTGGGGAGCCAGGCTGCCAATATAGCTCCTGAGATTGCGGGTTGTTACCCCTTTGAAGACAATCTGGTGTATTACTCATCTGGGTGGCCTATAAGCATTGAGCCGGATAATTAGGGGATAACTCATGCAACTCCTGATGGACCCAAATAGCCCAAAGACAACATAGTGGGCGAGACTCTCGCCCAACGCGCGCAAGAAGTGCTTGAAGCTCTAAGGAGCTTTGCCACCTGCAACCCGTCACGAACAATCTGGATAATGCCATCAACCAGAATCTTTTCTCAGTAGAAAACATACTTGCATTTACGCATCTCTACCTGCAACATTGCCACCGACATTGTCCGATCCTTTACCTCCCAGCATTGCAAGCTCAATCTACAACTGTGCCACTGCTATTGGTCCTTTTTCTAGGCGGCTCGTTACACTCCTATCCGAGAGATACTTTCGATCTAGCCGTGGATTGTTTTGATATTGCCGAGGAATATTTGTTCAGTTTGCCAGTATTTAACCCAGGTCAAAGGGATTCTCCGTCTTCACAGTTAGAGGAACACGAGGCACTAAAGGCAGGCGTAATTCTCTTACACTTGCAAATCGGGCGCAATCAACCTGGCATTCTGCAAAGGGTAAGATGTCAGAGATTCCCCATGTTAGTACATGCCGCGCGGTCCCAATCCCTTTTTTGTTGTCGGCGCCATGACGAGTCGCCCGGTCACACGGTCAGCGTGGAAACCTCGGGACTGCCAGAAGGAGTCAATGATCAGGTAAAACCGCATCCTTGCAATATAGCAGACACCTGTGAACCTCGCTTTTCTAGGGTTTGCATTACTGATCCCCTGGCACAGGACGGCCGCCTTCATTATGCTACTTGACAGCCAGTTTGTAGTATGTCTACGCTCTCCTCCGATGATCACGATCGCAGAATCAAAGGCAGACTTGCCCTGCAACGAGCTCCTGTTTGCCAACTACTATTCGTCATCATGCGCCAACACCCCACGGTCACCTTCCGTCCCCGAGGTGATCGATCTCCTCATGAATGGTGCCCGGGACGGACCAAGCCATCCCGCACTCAACAACCTTGGTATTTTCGGGCATTTTACTGTTATAGCTGGTCTGTATCCACACCCCGCAGAAACCTTGAACCGTATTACCAAGACTCATGGTTTCCCAGGGCTGCACGTGGTAATATTCTCGGCCTTTGCAAGCCGGATGATGCAAGTACAATTGCCTTCCCTGGATCGCGCCTTGTCCAGATGGAAGCTGCTATGGGAGAGGCTGATGTCACGCATTAGCTCTCCCAGATGCGACTCGCACTGCAGATGCAGCGGTGTTTCGACAACGACGCCGTCCACCGAACCCGCCAGGTGCCCCTCGAACTGGACTTTGGCGTTCGCGATGCCCTCCGTTGGGGAACGAGGAACGGTGCGGAAGCCGTAGGAATGCTGGATCGAATCGGCACCTTGACACCCGGCAAACAGGCCGATGTGGTCCTCATCTCCCCCAAGCGCGCGCTGAGCGCATCGGCGTATCCCCTTGCGACGGCGGTTCTGCACTCCAGCCCGGCCGATGTGGACACTGTTATGGTAAAGGGGGAGGTTCGCAAACGCGACGGCCATCTGGTCGGACACGACATCGCGGACATTCGCCTCAAGGCCAAGGCCGGGCTACAACGGATCATGGAGAACGTGGAAAGGATGCGACCTGAGATGACAATCGAAGGGATTCGTCAATAACTTCTGGATGCAGAGAATTTGACTCGTTCTAACCTGGCCAAAGCCCATTTTGGCGAAAAGACGAGGGGAGATTGGATGAGGCAAAGATAGGCTGGCTCCGGCTAAGAGGGTTTTCTCTGGCGCCACCTTGTACAAGTTAAAAGATATGGATCAGTTTCCACTCTTTCACAATAAATTGAGATCTTTCATTCAAGAAAAAAAAAAGAAAAAGAAAAAAGAAAAGAAAAGAAATCACACCTTTATAGCCGCTACAAGAGGGGAATCTACCTAGACACCAAATGCTAAAAAAATAGGTGCTGTTGATGGCCGTGTAGCCTGTAGTTCTGGCATCCGATAGAGTCGAAGGATGTCGCCGGTTGTGGATCAGTGGGCTTATTCCGATTGGTTGGGAGGCGCACATGGTCGCGTCCCTGCGCCCAAGGAATACCTAGGAACTATAAACAATACCAGTGACTGCTTTTTAAGATGATTCTCATCCGTGGCCCATTCCCATGCAGAGGACAGGCCAAGTGGGACTTCTCCTATCGGGCCTTGAAGAGTGGGGAGAGAAGCGCTACATAGTATGCTGAACGAGTTGACTTCGAGGGGATTGTTGTGACTGGACACTCGGAAAAGCAACTCAACGAAGGGCCTTTATCTGGCGGCAGGTGGTGTAGTGGCAGACAAGAATTAATACTTAGGAGACGTCCACCCTTCCCTCTCTTTCACTTCCCCAAATCCAACATATCATCCCCCCTCCATACTTTCCCACGCCAGCAAAAGCCATGACAACATCATCTTGTGCCTGTGGTGCCGTTCGCATTGAGAATCCTGGTGACCCCATCGAGAAGTAAAAGCATGCTCTACCAAGACATCCCATCACTAAGGTACTGGCTAATTGGTCCTTCGGTTGGTGCGTCTGCTCTAGTCCTCCACGTGCGCCTAGTGCAATCAGTATAGTGGACTGCTTGGCTAAGGCGGGAGCAAAACGCCGACTACTTGCGATCATCGTGTCTATAAGTTCGATCCATTGTTATTTGGTGATATAACAAAGATAGTTTGCAACTTCCAACAAATCGTCTTGGTGGCGCAATTGGTTAGCGCGTACGACTGTTAATCGTGAGGTTGAGAGTTCGATCCTCTCCTAGGACGTTTGGTTTCTTTTTTCGGTCAGAATCGGAAGTTTCTTTTGCGCTTCCCTGTTACTTACAGCGCACTCACAAGCATCCGTAATCCAATTCTACCAGTAGATATCTCATAATCTCGCTGGTTGCACCAGACTAACTTTTCATTGACAGCAAAATCTCCGGCCCAAAGCTTGTTTACCCCGGACGAGTGGATCCACCATCATCATTCCCCGTAAAGCATACGTCATTTCCACCCACCACCACCTCCTTCCACCTTTCCCCTCCGAAATTCCTGTATCAATCATATTCCCATTCGACCCTCCTTTTGCTCTGAAGTCTATCCTTGCGCCCACGTGTACCCTGATCTCAGTATCTCCAACCGACGCGGAAACACGCTACCACTATCGTGCTCCGATGTCCGTCTCCTTCCAAGACCTGGGGACCTCCTTCCTCGGCGCCTTCCAGGCCTGCGTCTCCGTCCTGCTGACGCTGGCCTACGGCGTCATCGCCCGCTACGCCGGCCTCGTCAGCGAGACCTCCATCAAGGACGTCTCCGGCCTCGGGATCAAACTCTTCTTCCCGGCGCTGATGGTCGTGAACCTCGGGTCAAACCTGCATCTCTCGAGCATCCTAAACTATCTTCCTATCCTGGGTATGTTCGTCCCCATATTTTTGGTTGCATTGGCCGGCACAGTGTGAATGGGCTACGATACTGATGGGCGTAGTCTGGAGCACGATCGTGGTCTTCGTCTCCCTGGTGATCGGCAAGCTCGGCGAGCGCGTCCTGCGTCTCCCTGCCTGGGTGACCGCCGCGTGCGCGTTCAACAATACCACGGCGCTGCCGCTGTTGCTCATCCAGTCGCTGGAGAGTACGGGCAGTTTGAAGCGGTTGCTAAAAGACGGGGATAGTGTGTCCGATGCGGTGGATCGGTCGCAGAGTTATCTGCTCATTTGTGCGGTGGTGAGTAACCTTCTGACCTATGTGGTTGGGCCGAAGTTGTTGCAGCAGGCGGATGCGGAGGGTGACGATGCGGAGGGAGATGCGAGGGGTTATAGGGAAGGCGAGGGGGATGAAGAGGATGGCGCGGATGAGCAGAGTCCGCTGCTCCCTGCGTCTGTCCGGCGGACGGGCTCGCAGATCCGGGGGAAGTCCCGCGCGGCCTGCGCCCCGCTCCTCCGTCTGCTTCCCGACAAGCTGAAGGAGGAGGCGCTCTCGTTCGACAACCCGACCGTTTTGAATATGTTGCTGGGGTTGTTTCTGGGGGGTCTGCTGGGCCTCACGCCGCCGCTGCACCGCGCGTTCTTCAATAAGAACGAGGACGGCGGGATCTTCAACGCCTGGCTCGTGCTGAGCATCAAGAACATCGGCAAGCTGTTCACCACCCTGCAGCTGTTCATCGTGGGTGGGAAGCTCGGCGTCAGCTTCCAGAATATCCAGCGCAGCGCCAAGAGCGGGCACGTCCCCTGGCGCGCTGTCGTGTTTGTCTTTCTCGTGCGTTTTGTGCTGTGGCCTGCGTATGTTTCCCCCTCCTTTTTGGCAGGAAGTGCATTGCTGACGCTGCTACTTCGGGGGTGTAGGATTAGTATCTCGTTGGTGTATGTGTTCGCCGCGAAGACCAGTCTGCTGGGCGATGATCCCATTCTCTGGTTCAGTATGATGCTCATGCCGACGGGGCCGCCGTCGTTGGTCATCTCCGGGCTGGCCGAGTTGGCGAATGTCTCCGAGGAGGAGAAGTTGACGGTTGTCAAGGCTTTGACGGTACGTGCCCGTGTGTGTGGTTGCGGGGCTGGTCTTACTGACTTCTGCGGTTGTAGAGCCAGTATTGTCTTTCGCCGTTTACATCCTTCACTGTCGCTGGAGCGTTGCACGCTTCGGAGAAGATCTTTGCGCAGTCGGCTAAGTAGGTAGGAGATTGCTTGACGATGGAGTATGAGGCTGTGTAGATTGTGTCTTGATTGGACGGTATATAATCATGGTGTTTTGGATCGGGTAGAGGATCTGGACATGTTATGGTTAATAGTAAGATGTTAGAGGGGTAGACCTAGAGCTGAATATATTCACAGTGTCGATATAGCCAACTTGCAAATACCGTAGTCCACGATAGCAGGAGATCGGAATCAGCCCTGGGGCGGGTATCACCAGTGTACATGCCAACCAAATCACAGTAGCCACTGATCAAACACAATCCCCGGATCCACACCTCCCCAGAAGTCCATCTCATCCCCAAGTAAGCCCAAATCATCGGACACCAAATCCGACAAATCGCCTAGTTCGGAGGGAGGGAGCGGCGCGCTGGATAGCCCCGATTCCAACACCTCGTCCAAAATCTGCAAGAGTGCTTTGCTCGTCCGCTCACACAGTAGCCCATGCACCTTGTCTGTCTTCGCGATGGATTCCAGATGTGACAGGAAGACGCTGAGGTCGCGGATCAGCGCCGCTCGCGATCCGGCATAGACATAGGGAAGCGGTTGGCCAGTTCGGCTCTGGGTCTGCAGTGCTTTCACTAGCACACTTGCGCTGGGAAAGCCGTAGAGTAGGATCTGTGTACACAGTAAATGTCAATCACCTAGATGCCAAAGCTTTTTGTCTCGGAGCATCTTACAGCCCAAATAAAATCACGGCGCAAGTCCACCGTGGCAGCCTCCCCGTATGTTCCTAGCGTCAACACCGTCGAGAGGATTTGCGCGCTGACCTTCAGCAGTGCACCCTGTGCTTGACTGTCTTCGCGTAGAAGCAGCCTCTGCACGAGAAATTCATCGTATAGGTGCGCCAGGTGGGCGACCGTTAGCATGAGGCGCGCGCTCACGGAGAGGATGCCCGGTTCCCTCCATGCAGCTGCAGAGGATCGTAGGTGTTTCGGCAGGGAGGACCAGGTCTTTTCGGAGCGGAGGGAGATGTCTCTAGGTCTATGTTAGTATTTCATCGTGTGTGTTTAAAGGGCCGAGGTGCTACCTTAATTGTGCGGCGGTGTCGGCGCTGGGTGGGCGGAGAGACAGTTCGAGAATCTCCTCGCGGAGGGTGCCGAGCTCGAACCGTACACGGATCCAGGATGCTCGCTGGAAGACCGGGGGCTCTTGGAGACTCCATCCGCTATCGTCCAGCGTCTTGGTGATAAGTTGTAAATGTCCGCTGTCGGCTGTGAGGATCTCGTCCGCGAGATCGAGTGGGGGCTTGCAGTCAGAGTGGCGGATGGAGATACGCGGGGGTCGACCGAGGAAAGTGGCGACCGTCTTGTCGAGCTGGTACGCGGCGGCGAATATTCGTCGTCGAGTTTCGGCGAGGAAGATGGGGAGTTCGTTGGATTCGCGGTGGAGACCGAGCTCGAAGAGGGTGGTGGAGAGTTCGCCGAGTCGGTGCCATGTTTCAGAGCCTGTGCAGAATCCATTCGTCAGCTTTCCAATCCCAAGCCAGATTCTGGGTAAGCGCACTTGTATCACCATGCAGCAAGCCAGACAGAAGTAAGCTCTCATGCTGTAGCCACACTGTCAAATCATTGGTCGGCGTAAGGAACCGACAGACCTCGAGGACCGTGTCACACATCGTCATCATTCTTCGAGGGAAACGGGCCTGGTAGTCTGGGCCGAAATGTCTGGACACCTTGCCGTGGGCCAGCGCGAAGCAGCTAGCTTTGCCGGCGAGGGCACCAATAATGGCGATGATCTCGAGTCGAAGATGGCGACCGGTGAAAAGCTCATGAAATCCACTACCCTCTGTTGTCGATGGAATCACCAAGCGCTTGCTGGTGTTGTGGAGAACGGACGTGGCTGAAGCAGTGTCCCCTAACAAGGAGGCTAATGCGTTCAGGATAAACGGGGCGGGTATGGCGGCGGACTGGCTGAGTCGGTAATACTCATGCACCAAGTGCTCGATAATGGGCAGTTCCTTCAGCCAGCGGAGAATCTCGGCTACTTTGTGTGCCCAGTGGGCGGGCAGTGCTTCTGCGGCCTCGGTCTGAGTGGCCGTGGGCGGCTGCTTGTCGGTATCCCGAGTCTCTGCAAACGCATCGAGAAAACTGGTCGGCCCCAGATACCCTGCAGGAAGCGGTGTCTCAATCTCAGGGTTACACGCAGACGCTTTGAAGGGCGACGGTTCTCGATTCGGTCCTTCGACCGCGATCACGTCTGTCGTGGCTTCTTGTTGGTCCTGTAGCCTTGTTCCACCGTCAATGAGCAGCATTGACCCGGGTTGCAGAGTATCACTCACTCCTGTGCATTTCCACCATTCGAAAGGCTCGCTCTCAAGTTCTTTCTCTCCGACTTGCGCGTCAAAGGTGCAGGATGATAGAAGCAGCGTGTTGCCGTATCCCGTTGGAAGCAGCGCGAGCACACGGGGATTCCGTGGTCGCAGCGTACCTTGTCCTTCCGGCATGGTTCACAAGAAGCAAATTTGCCGTTTCGTCGTCGGACATTCTTGCCTGCTCCTGGCATCTTGTCTGGTCTGGTAAACTGATTCACTGCGAGGGTCAGATCTGACGTGTGGTATCTAATGAGTGTGTGTTGTTCGGAGACGCAAGACTCACGTGGACTCTATGGTACAGTACCATGTGAGGGTGAAGGGCCCGTCTACTTTTCGAAGCTCTCCAGCTGCCACAGCCTGTGAGATGATGAGGTCTGCATCCTGTGGCACTTTGCGCGTGCCAGTGTCATGGATAAACGTTTACCTGTCAAGCTTATCGTTGTTCCCCTCCATTGGTCTGTATTCGGTTAGCCTTCGGGACTCGGCGTTCGGCGTTCGGAGTCCAGATTTTAGCCTAAGGCATCATTCACTCGTGCCTGAGGCGTTTAATCATTGGCCTTGTTGCGAAGGACCTTGGGAGTCGGCACAGAGGTATAAGATGACGGAAGCTAGTCAGCTATCATTGTATTCTTTTCATCTCTAGATACTGGGAGCCATGTCATCGGAGCAATTGTTCATCTCCCCGCGACTTGAGCCAATTCACACTGCGCGCGCGACCGAACGGTCAATCACCGAGTCTAGACCAGATTTTTCATATCCCGTGTCACCATGATCAATCGACATAGACGTGGCTTGGCCATCTAGCCTGGTTCCTTAAGCATGACAGGTTGTACCTTATCCCGGTGCCAGAACCAGGGCTGCTGGGGCGGTGTTACCGGGAATGAAGAGGGGCATCGAATTCGGCGTCTCGGTGTCTGCTCCGAAGCGGGGTGGAGATCGTCATATAAAGCTGGCAGCTGGAGTGGGAGCTGCAACTGCCCCTCAGCTCTCAACACACCCATCGATCTTCTCCCCCCAGCCCAATATTCTAATCATTCGACGCCATGACTCTCACCGGAAGCTGTCTCTGCGGCAATATCACCTACACCGCTGAAAGTATGTTCACCCCAGCCAACCAGGACCGTGAGCTGACCAAGTTCCCCGCAGCCGATGAGTACCTGAAAGCGCTCTGCCACTGCACTGACTGCCAAAAGGTGCGCCCGGATGAAATCGCATATGGGCCATTAGGCAGGCTGAACTAATCTCCTTCAGTGGACCGGCGGCGCCTTCACCTCCAACGCAGTCGTTCCCCGCCAGAGTTTCAAAATCAACAAAGGTAGAGCGCAGACAGACCCCAGTCCCAATCCGTCAGTCAGTCCTAACGCTTTCAGGAACACCCTCCTCCTATGACGTTGTCGGGGCCAGCGGCAAGATCAACAAGCACTTCTTCTGTCCGACCTGTGGATCCAGCTTGTACACTGAGCTCGAACTCATGGCCGATAAGACCGTGATCAAGGCGGGTACTCTGGACAACGGCGACACCAACCTGGGTGGGAAGGTGGATATCGAGTTCTACGTCAAGGACCGGCCGTCGTATTTGGCTGCTGTCGAGGGCGCCAAGCAGGAGCCGCGCTTTGGTTAAGGGGTCGGTGAATTCGATTTGTTGATAATATAACAAGTTTTGAAACTATCAGAATGAATGCTCATGACGTCCGTTCGATTGTGGGCTTTCGAATAACAGCACAGTAGTGCAGCAGGGCTCTGCGAAACATTCTTAAATGCATTGGTTTAATCTCACTCTAGTGCAGGCTACTCTAGAGCTGCAGCAATCCTGCCGAAAGCCAAGTCCAAGAACTCCACGGGATGCGTAAAAACAATCCTAAACCACCCGTCCTTCTCCGACCCAAATAACGTACCACTGGCGAGAAACACCCTCTTCTGCAGTAGTCGCTGCATCACCTTCTCGCCCACTACGCTCCCCGCCTCTTCGGGATGCAGCTCAACATACCGCTTCCCCAGGTTCACCCACAAGAAAAATGCAGCGTTGCAGCCAGGCGCATACTCGATCCCCAACTCTTTGAGGCGGCGCGTCGCATACGCATACGTCGTAGACAGCTTCTCTTGATTCCTAGCAATGTACTTCTCCGTGAACTCGACATCCTCGAGAAGAAGTGACGCTAGGTGATCGGCCGTCCCGGAAGTATACGAGTACAGTGAGATCCCACCCAAAGCCGCGTGGACGTCCTGGTTGAACTGGGAAACTATCACCCCCATCCGCAGCCCGTTGGCGCCGAAGTCTTTACTCAGGCCCCAGAGCACATGGACGAGGGCGGGGTCGATGATGTCGGTGAGGTCGATGGAGAGGGCGGATTCAAACGCCACAGGTGCCGGGGCCTGATCGACGGTGTTCTCCCACACCGATAACGCGTAGATCTCGTCGCTGATGAAGTTCATTTGGTACTTCTGGCAGAGTCTCATCAGTGCGATCAGCACATGACGTGGGTAGCACCGTCCCAGCGGGTTGTGCGGGTGGCAGAGCATCAGCGCCTTGACTCGGCGGCCGGTGTCGGTCTGGAATCGCAGCAGAGCCTGCTCATACTTGTCGACGGCCTCGAGGCTGAACGGGTCGCAGTCGTCGAAGGCGACCTGCACCACTGACGCACCGAACCGGAGCGAGAGGTCGGGAATGAAGGTCCCGTAGAATGGACGGCCGAGAAGGATCCCTTCCCCGGGATCACAGAAAGACCACGCTACGTGCTCGATGGCCGGGGAAACCCCGTTGGTGACGACCAGGTGGTCGGCCATCACGGGCATGACGGGGCTGAAATGCCGGTTGATGAATGCGGCCATCGCGCGGCGGAGTCGCACGGAACCGCCACCACCGTCGTTGTAGGTGAGGTATTTGGCCGGGAGCTCGAGGGTGCGGTTCAGGTGTTTCAGCAGCATCCCGTGCATCAGCGAGTTCTCCGCCACGCCGACGTTGACGTAGCCATTCGGATTGGTCGTCTCGCACCAGACGTCTTTCATCACGTCCCACATGACGTTGTTGCTGACCTTCTGGATTACATCCTGCGCCCTTTGGGACATCGCTGATGTCGGAAGTGTAGCTGAGGCCATGGTGATGTGGTGTGGTACGTTTGAGTTTGTAGGCGATTGTAAAGACGGGGAGAGCCCAGGATCTAGTGACTGTATTAGATGTCTTCAGAAAAGCCGATGACTCGCATCAAAGCAGCTGGCAGGACCCGTGCATCCAATCAGATGCTTATCACTCGAAGATTATGCAGGCGAGGCCCGTATCACTGAGGAGAAGGAGTCCGTGTCGGATTCAAGAACCGGTATTGAGTCACATCTTATCGACAGGATTTCTGCAGGGCGCAGACTCAGGTTTCGGTCGGTAAGGCGCGGGACCAGAGTTGGAGATTTGGGGAAGCAGAACTTGGTAGGTCATGCCAAGGCGAAATGTGGAGATGTTGGAGACGGAGTGGATCTTGTAGGTGGAAGCAGCTTTGAGAACCTGGTTTATAAATGTTGGTCGTCCAAGTAAGGCGGTTGAAGAAGATGGGATTTGAATTGATGAAGAGTCTCAACCATGAAGTTTCCGAGTCTTATCTAGGTAGGTATTGATGAGATATAACGTCAGTGGGCGGAAAGGAGCGGAAGGTGTAGGAAACGGCCATTGGCTACTAGAGAATCAGTGTGCATTAGCCAGGATCACGGTGTACGTGGTAATTTTGATTGATAGAACAAAGTATGGCAATAATATTTCAACAATTGGGACGATGGCGCATCTGGGAGCGCGTCAGACTGAAGTACTAACTTCGGCCGTAAATCTGAAGGTGGCCGGTTCAAGCCCGGCTCGTCCCATTCTGTTTTTGCCTTTTTCCTTCGCTTCACTTTTTCATCCTGTTCTGGCTTTGGCCTCTTCATCTTTGAAATGGATTAGAGCTAGCTTATCATGATTTAGCGGTGTTAGTTACTTGATAAAAGAATGCTCTAAAATGCTTTCTATCCTATTCGTCCGGGTTTCCTGGAGCACTCCAGTAGTTACCCCAGAAAATATATTTCCACTACCGGTTTCCTTTCACTACCACCAAGTGAACCAACACGATTCCAAAGACCACCGAATGAAAAAAGACATCCAGAAAGATCAAAATACACATCATCATCATAATCATAGACATTCTATAAGTTATCGATTGCTGAATAGTCGTGATGCACCTGCTGGTCGAGCACCGCCTAATGGCATCCGGCATTATTGGGCTTTCGAATGGTACCGCAGATGCGGCCCGCACCGCCGGCGGTTTCCTGTTTCGGCAGCTGCTGCACCAACCGGACGCCCAGCGCAGCGTCATCCTCTTTGTACTTCTTCACATCCTCTCCAGTCTCCAGCTTACTTCTTGTCTCCAGCGTCCTCATCCACGGCAGCCTAGTCTCAAGCCTGTGGAGCAGCCCTTACAATATGATCCATCTTGCTCCCCATGTTTCCACAATCTCCCTGGCTTCATCCACCAGACCCAGGTCCAGCAACAACTGCACCGTGCCGCGAAAGGCCGAGTCGACGGCCGATGAAAGCCACGCATGCGTATAAGCCGTATGTTCCCCAATGAAGATTGTCTTGGACTCGGTTTGATAGATTGCTGGCAGGAATGTCTCTTGTTGATCGCCGAGGGGAGACGCCCAGGCCCCACCTGTGAACTCATCGTTTTCCCAGCACAGACGTTCGTATACTCCTATCAGACCAGGAATCAGCCATCTTCATATCTATGCCAAGATTCAACCCACATACCGGTGAACTCCTCATCAGCAACTTTCCCATGAAGGCGAACCATGCCCCGCTGCGCCAGAGCGACGTGGTTTGCTTCTCCCAGCGCAGACATCGTCCGGGCTATGTTACCCGTGGTGAAGGAAGCTAGAACCACTGCCGGGCCCGTGCTATTCACTTGATACGGGGGATAGCACATATCGCCGATACCGGGATAAGCGTCCACACGGGCGCAGCCTCGGTATTGCGCATTCTTGCCATCCTCCCAGAACCGCGAGCGGTAGTGCAGAGCAACTTTACATGATTGCGTGAAATGCAGCCGATGAATCGCCCATCCAAGGAGCTCGGGGTATTCCGGCAACTCCCAGGCACGCACTATGCTGAACGGAGCAGCGACAACGGCATAGTCGTATTGTTCATCCACGGTTTCCGGGTCCTTCGGATCATTGCGCCAAGATAAAGAGATTTTGTTTGTGGATGCGTCATGGCTCAACCCGCTGATTCGACGGCCCAGCGTGATCTTGTCCGTTACATGAGGCGCGAATGCTCTGGGTAGCGACTCGAATCCTTTGTCCAGAGTTTCCCAGCTTGAGGCAGCGAAATATTTGTTCCAGTATAGGCTCTCCCAGATAGGCGTATCTTCCCGGTCGGCGATGTAATTAATCATCTGATCGTTCGAGCTCAGGAGCTGGCGCAGGTATGCGCCTTCAGACCAGTGCGTACTCCCCGCAGCCAATGCAGCCTTGTGAGCCTGAAACATCTTGTCAGCTAGGAACTCGGTATACTTCTGTTGATCGCGTTCATCCAGGTCTTTAAGCGTATGGCTCGGCCCGTCCTCTTCATCGGTAATCACGTCGAAAGGAAGGAACTCCATCTTTAACTCCGGGTGGTGGTCGGCATTGAGTCGATTGAGCTTGTCAATGAGACTGATCACTAGTCGGTGATCTTCAAACGGCAGGACCTCGGTGGTGCCGGTGTATCTGATTTTGGTGGGTAGTCGCATGGGGCCCATGTCAAAATATTGATAATCCTCGGGTGAGGTGCCATTGAGGTAGCCTGTTCGGATTCGCCCCCCTAGACGCTGGGAGGCCTCGTGGATATGCCAGTTGTGTAGTCCGACCGAGCTTAGCAAATGACTGGTCAAAAGCCCCGCGATGCCTGCGCCCACGATGGCGATACTGGAATTCTTCGCTGCAGCGCTATTCACCACCGCCTTGGCGTGGAACCGCGACCGAGTGTATTCGACCACATTGAACCAGATTACAGAGTCCTTGTCGATCCGAGAATCTTCTTTAGGATGATCTGGCGCTTGTTCCAAAGAGATAGGAGGCGACCGGCCAACCATAGCACATTCGTGGAAGGCAAGCAGACATTGTGATTCCTGTGCATCGGAGGGCACAACCCATACAAGCCGATCTGGGTGTTCCGTACTCTGCACCTCGAAGCTTCCCACTATCTGAGTTGCATCGGCTGCTTGTTCTAAGTTGCAGTCCCCATAGACGACATGGAGCTTGCCTGCAAAGCTCTCCTGTGCGAAATTAAGCTGGATATTCTGGACAGAGCCGGTCTCAACAAGGTAAGGCCCGAGAAATTGAACCAAGCTCGCGTCTGCGTGACCTTTGTGTGCCTTTGCCAAACCGAGTGGAAATTGCAAGCCTTGTGTGAGATCAAGGCCTGGGAGGAGGCAAAGAGACAATAGATTGATTCTCATCTCGAAAGTATATTTGGTAAGGAAAACAGTTCCAGGCTACTAAGATGATTCCTACCATTAGAGTACAACCCAGGCTGGTCTCAACTTTTATGTTTTGACCGCTGGTAACTTTTTAGGTTGCTTAAGCCATTGCACCCATTGCCACAACGTCATCTCGTCAACAAGCACATTCCACGCAGCCAATCAATCTTCTATTGTCGGATACATTCACTTTTACTTGCATCGAGTCCCGTAGTCTGTGTTTCTCTGTTACCGAATATGTGGTGGGGAGCGACCACCCTTATGGCAAATCTTAACTCTATTCTGTCGGTGATGCATGAAACTGTGGCGATCGCCGCCAAGTTGACTGGGTCGGTGACACAGTATGGCTTAATCTAGGACTTACTTCAGGCAACACCTGCTTGTGAAGCCCAGAACCGACCAATGGACTTATTTTCCCGCAGGTCCAGGCGAGAATGCACTGGACCTTTCGCTTTCTGAGTTACGTGCTGCTACGCACTGCGGCTGTTTCTATATTGGGAAGACGCATGATGCGCACTGATAATATTTCTTTATGGGTTGTGATCAGGTGTCACACGGTTAGTTTACAATTGTCATCGACACTTCCGTCTCTTCTACTGCGCAAGAATAGCCGCGCTGATTTTCTCAGCTAGCATGTCTGTGAGAGGGATTAGCACGATTCATGTAAGACCCTTGATGCGACCTTGACTCACAGACTGTGCTAGTAGGATGACCAGGAGGCAGAAGAGGGAATGCACTCGCATCGACCACACGCAGTCCCTGGATGCCGTGAACTCGTGCTTCACTGTCGACAACTGCCATGGGATCCTCCCGAGGCCCCATTTTACATGTACAGGATGCATGCCACACCGTGATGACAGAGCTGCGAATGGCGTCAAGGATCTCCTCGTCGGTTGTCACATTTGCTCCAGGATAGTATTCCGGCCCAGTCGTGATCGACTGCAAGGCGTCACTCGCCCAAATTTCTCTGGTTCGTTTGAAGATGGCCAACGCAACCTCGATGTCGGTCTGGCTTGTGAGCCAATTCGGATTGACTACCGGCAACTCCTCGGTGGAGTTGGAGATGAGGGTGATGTTTCCGCGAGATGTTGGCGCAACGAGAGCGCCGACTATGGAGGCGTATTGCCGTCCATCTGTGGGCTGACCTTCTGCGGGATTGCTGTAGTTTCCAACATGCGCATCGAATGCGATATACTGCCACTGTCGTCAGCAATCGATAGTTCAAAATTTCCTCCTCGGAAAAAGATCATACTTCAGCCTGTGGCCAGTCAGCAGGGAAATTGCTTAATTCTTCCTGTGTTCCGGCGGAAAACTCGGCATGATAGGAAGGCGGGAGGTTCTCCCAGGCGAGGAAATTGGGGGCATAAGTCATTGGGCCATCGTGAGAAGTCTGATATCTCAGAATCTGTTCAGTCATATAGGTTGTGTCCGTGAAGAGCTTGGTCAAGGTCTCGACTGCGACCGGATAGGATTGAGCAAAAAAGACATGATCCCACATGTTCTGGCCCACGCCAGGTAGATCGGCAAGCACAGGGATATCCAGGTTCTCCAACTGATCGCGAGGCCCAATGCCAGACACCATGAGGACTTGGGGTGAGTTGAACGCTCCGGCGGATACAATGATTTCCTTAGCTGCCGACGCCGTCCAAACCTTTCCATCTTTTTCGATTTCTACGCCCTGCGCATTAAGCTGATCATCGAACAAGACACGCCGTGCCAGAGATCGAGTGCAGACGGTCAAAAATGACTCTTCCTCAGCCAGACCTAGAAGAAAATCCGAGCTGCTACGGCGCTCGTCTACCGGGGAGATCTCTGCGGCAGAATATTGCGTTCCCACCAAGCTGCCACTGACGAAGTCATTGGTCTCAGGTATCCCAGATTCCTCGAAGCCCAATTTCAACCAGGTGGAAAATGGCGACCGGAAATTGGGGTATGAGATTTGAATTGAGCCCTCGACGGGGTTTTCGGATGAAAAGGCACTGGCATTCCAGTGTATAGACGTGTTATCCAATCCATTGTCTGGATTGGGTGGTGTGAAGTGGAAGGTTCTCTCGAAGAAGGGTAAAATCTCGTCCCATTCGTAACTGGGATCTTGGACGGCTTCTGCCCAAGCGTGATACGTCGACTTGGTGCCTCTGTCGTCTGTGGTCAACAATCCTGCACAGCAATAGGGATAGACGCGTGACTAACCGCTGGTATAGCATGGCATTCATCGCAGACCTATACAACCACATCAGCCCAGCTGACCGCGACACGGGGACTTTCATCTTACGAGCCACCGAGAGTCTTGCCCCGTGCATAATGCAGCTGACGGTTGTTCGCGCCAGGCTGCGGGGTGGTAATCACGCCCCAATCGACGCGGGGATCAATTGTATCCGGGCTCCCTCCGGTTACGGCGCCAAACATGAGGGGAATAGTCAGGTTCGCATTGTCCAGCTCATAAATGCCACCCGCCTCGACGATCAAGACGCTGTGCCCGGCCTGGGACAGACGAGCGCCGACCACATTTCCCGCCGTGCCACCTCCGATGACGATGTAGTCGTAGACCCCATCCTCACCACAGGCACCTGCGACCGGGTTGGCCAACAGCAGCAGGGACAGCAGGCGAGCAAAAACAGCAACCAGCAGCAGCATGGTGTGCCCAATTTGAAAAGACCTACGCCCCGGTATGTGAGGAAAATCCAAGGAAGGATCTTCCTGGTCATCCCTTCCTCCCTTTCTTATACGACTCCTTCGCGCCCGCATATGCTATCGGGATTTGGACCAGTCACATTCCAAAGCAGGGTTTCTCGCCCTGCAATAAATGCCTGCCCTCCATGCGACTTGCTGCCGCCGATCCCTGGGTTCAGTTCCGAGACGGGGCTCGACGGCAGTCGATCAATTCTTTTCTGTCCAGGTGGATCCAGCGGCCTTGCGTCCTGGCTGCCGCTAGTGCAATGGGGTAGGAGCACAACCCGGCGAAAATCGACCGAGATTCAATTTAATCAGAGGTCCGCATCTACTGTGGTTGCGTAGTCGTGGACACATGATCAATGAGTTGTTGAAATAAGCGTGGGGCTTCCGCTGCTAGTTTCCCTTGATGTCTGCATGTATGTTGTTCATCGGTGACCAGTGCTTGGACGTACGTATAGTAGAACCGCAGATTTATCATGCTAAGTTCCATAGTCATAGTCAATACTCGAAAGGATGCAGTGCGCTAGCGGAATTCACGCAGTAAACCAAGTTTACCCTCTTATTTTTCCCAATGCCCCACGTACAGAAAACAATAATCCCGAAGACAATAACACTACTTAGAACAAATCGACATTTGCTCCCACACAAAAGATCACAGCACGCGCCCGCGGAATTCTCACTCCTGCTTCTTCGAAAAGCTAAGGAAGACAACCACCGCAAACACGAGCGACAGAATGCCTGGGTCTTGTCAGCGCCCTATCGAATGCACTTTCTCTCCCTAAAGGAAAACTCACCATAGATAAAGTTCAAATTCAGATACCCGATCTTGTCGACCAACAGGCCTGACATAATGGGGCCCAGGAACATGCCGATCGTCCAGCCCATCCACGCGATGGATTGGGCGCGGGAGTGGCCGCCGTGGGGGCCGAAGATGCCGGGATGCTTGGCTTCGAGCTCGTTGATGGTGACTATCCCCATCCAAGACCGACCAGGTCAGTACACTCTGATGTTGCAATACTCACAGGGGTGGGAGGCACAAACTTACGTGTAGCTTCCAAGAACCCGACCCCGTTTAACGCCGAGAAGAAACACCCGATGACCACCACGGCCGCGGGGTAGAGCGCCTTCCCCGTTTGCGAACCGCCACTCGCCCACGGGAACCGCCCGTCTCCGGGGATCCCCAGCACCCAGAGGCACGGGGTCAGCAGCAGGAACCCCAGCGTCGTGGGCAGGCGCGTGCCCACGCGGTCTTTCAGCCACCCGCACACGGGCGTCAGGAGGATCCCGGGCACTTGCAGCCCCACGAACAGCAGCCCCGCCGGCAGACTGCCCCAGCCAAAGACGGCGCGGATGTGCAGTGGCAGGGTGGTGTCGAAGCTGGCGACGAGCATCGCGTAAAACGTGTAGGCGGTCATCGCGGCGGTGAAGCGCGGTTGCCGAAGGAGGTAGCGGTAGTATTGGAGGCCGGCTTGTTCTGGGGTCTGTGTCGCGGTTGGGTTCGCGCTGCTGGGCTGCGGGGTGGGTTGCTGGTGTCGCCAGGAGTCGGTGGAGAGCGTGCGCGGGAGTAAGGGGGCGCGTTCGGGGTCGGAACTGGAGGTGGAGTGCGGGGGTTGCTTGTGCGAGGCTGTTGGGTGAAGTCAGTGGATGCGAGGAGACGATGACGCGAGAAGGAAGGGAGTGAAGCGGACTGACTTGTTGATTCCTCGGGTTTGCGCTCAATCATTAGCAAGCGCAGGGTTGCGTCGACCACGAGGACGGCGAAGGCGCTGCTCCATGCCACCCAATAGCCTCCCTTCTCTAAGAGGATTCCGGAGAGTACGGGCCCCGCGGAGGTGCCGACGGCAACGGTCACGCTCAGCACTGACATGACTTTGCCGAAGTTGTGCGCTGGGAAGGTCCGGCCGATCACAGCAAGGCCGCCGATCCACATGCAGTTGTCGGCAATGGCTTGGAAAAAGCGCGCGACGAAGATGATCGTTACTGTTGGTGGTTAGCTGCCTGTATGTAATCCGGAAAGGAGCAAGGAGCAGATAGTGCATGTCAGTGATCAGGATGGAGGAGGTTGAGACATACCGCTACGTGCAAGTGCCACACTGACTGTGCAACATGCCGCCAGAGCTACGGAGAAGAAGAGAAAGACCGTTTTAGCACCCCAGCGATCTGCGAGCGTGCCAATGACAGGGCTGGACACAGAAGACGTCAAGGCCGTTTCGGCCAATACGAGGAACGTCACGTTCTGCGTCTTGGATTTGTCGAGGCCAATCCGCTCCTCTAGCATGTAAGGAAGGAGAGGGATGATGAAGCTCCAGAGGAACATGCCTGTAATCGCTGGAGATCAGTGTCCGTGGCTCTCTGAAGGGCCGCGCAATGGGTTGCGGCATAAAGGGGACTCACTCCGCATAATCCCCCCGGCTACTGTCGCTAGGATGAAGTTTTCGGAGGATCTCCATCGGTATCCCCACTGGGTCGTCTGTGATCTGGTGTCAGTCATTATTTAATCCATAAGCTGTGATACTGGTCCGTAAGATTCGAGTGCCGAGGCTACCTTGGGATTTATAGCATCTTGGAAGCTATCTTTCAGGAACTGATATCACTGGGTATGCCTGGTTGAGTATGTCCTTCCTTCTGATCGACTACCACCCATCAGCTCTTGTGCGACGCCGAAGACCCTAGTGGTGGGAGACATCAAGGATAGTCGTGACGATCGAGGCCCTTCGTCCGACCAAACGGGCAAGATACAGGAGACCTCGATCCCGGCCTGCTGGCGTTGACAGGCGCAGGAACCTGCCTTCTCCTCGAAGTTCCACAACAATAGTATACCATGACTGATTGAGGGTGTTCAGCAGAGCAGGCAAACGAGGGCGTGACTTCAGACAAGCTTGTTCTGGCTTCTTTCGTCACAGTTCCGCTTGAAGCGGCGTGCAGCAGAAATAAAAGCCATCGTAGTAGGCAACCTGCCGAGCCGACAGTCATGTCCGTGATGAGTTGGACTGCCGAGAATTTTATCAAGGTCGAAACTCCTCTTGTTATGGCCATAGATTCTCAGGGGAAGGGACAGTTTGACGTCACGAAGAATTGAGCAGCTGGCTGGAAAACGGGCAAACGAAGAAATCAAGTCACGAAGTCACGCAATAGGCATCAAGAAGAACATCACATTCAGATGATCCATAAGGATTATATGAGTAGTCATCAAGGAGCCTGTATCCCCTCCTGCCGCGTTGGGATACCCCTACATACCTCGCCACGGGTCTTTGCTCCTAGATCACCAATTGTGCACCACAGAGACCTTCCTCGAAACCTTCCATAGCGTCAGCTGGTATTATGATGTCATATCTTGGAGTAGGTATAACGTCCGAGTACCAAGTTCAGCATCGTGCGTAGTATAAAATGCGGTGTTCAAGATACCCCTGGTGGTTGTCCATGTCAGTCATCTTGCGCAATCGCATGCAGCCAATATCCCGTTGAAACAGTCAAAACCGTTTCCGCCATGATTCTCTCTTTATATCCCGAGCCGGCGAACAATAGTACGCTCGTGGAGCCTTGTCCGCATCTGACATATCTCCGCCACTGTCTTAACCTGGCCAAGCTGTCACCGCCGCGCCCCACCCTCTTCCGGGCCGGAGCAGTCCTGATTTCGCGAAAACTCGTCCGGGGAACTGACAACGAGCTGTACAACGACGACCGGCTTCTATCATCAGGATATACCATGGAGCTGGTGAAGAGACCCCATGCGGAGCAGGCCTGTCTTTCCAACTACGCTGCCGTCCATGGAGTCCCAGACAATGAGGTCGGGGATGTCCTACCCTCTGAGCCTGATCGCTCTCTGATCATGTACATGAGTTTTGAGCCTTGCGTGGAGCATGAGGAAAGTGACATGTCCTGCGTGCAGAAAATCATCGAAACAAGAAAGGAGGGGCGAAAAGGCATCGAGAAGGTTTATTTCGGCTCGCTGTCGCCGTGCTCGATAAACAATAAGTCATCGGCACGTCAGATGCTCGGAGAGGCCGGCATTGAGTGGCAACTGTTCGAGGCTCTGGAGCAAGAGATACTTTCGGTTGCAAAGGAAGGACGTGTGAATCAAGGAAAGATTTGAATTTGTTAGTATCTTGTTCGTACATTGGAGATGACTCTGAAAATGGGAGGCTCGTCTAGGCCGGCGTGGTTGCCTTCTTGTTTGTACTGTTTGTGTCATGGATGTACAATTGAGTAAGTCGGTCACCTGATATATTAGTCAGTTGGTTGTCTGGATAAAATTTATTCCGGACCCACGAACAGGTTCTTCAATTCTCTTACCACAATAATATCATTGAAACAGCTTCGAAACCTATTGCACGAGAAGCGTTTATGGCATTTGAATTGGGATAGTAAGCATCCTTTGGGATGATTCGCACTACTTGCGGAGACTTATGCCTTTTGGGTAAGTGATCGACCACTGTTCCTGCTCTTCAACCTCATTCTCCACACTGAGCTCCACAAGCTTAAACACTTTATGCTGCAGATTGTGGATTCACCGGTCCCCAGACATGGAGACATGACGACGCTTCTTATCTCCATCATCTAGCCTTGGTCCTGCCACCACTATCATACTATCTCCGAGATCTTCACCATCGGACCTGACGCGGCGTTCCGTCCCTCAGCCGACTTGACCTGTTTCAATGGTCGTAAGATCTTCACAAGCATAAGATTAAGGTAAAGTCGGTGGAAACACCCGGTGGAACTGGTTACGTTGCCCAAGGCGGGTCTGAATGCTTGGTTGTTTGTGAAAAGGTATGGCTTCATATAAGAACTCGCTGTAACCCGCCCAAGACTTCGATTCTTCACTCTCACCACACTCCTTCCATTCGTTCTCTACTGCTCAGTCGTTCATTCATCATGGCCAAGTACCTCTCTTTGGCCATCTCAGCTGCGGCTCTAGCCCAGGCTGTCAGCCTGGAAGATGTTTGTACTTCCGCCTACGCCAAGGCGGCGATTCCCTCCACCGGTCTGGCCCAGGGGGTGGTCACCAACCCCTCCAGCGTCACCGCAGCCCCGGTCTACAATGAATCCACCGCTGGATCCAACTACTATCCTGCCGGCACCTACAACTACTGCAACATCACCATGACCTACTCCCATGCGGGTAAGGACGACGAGGTTCTGCTGCAGTTCTGGATGCCATCCCCCGAGGATTTCCAGAACCGCTGGCTCTCGACTGGTGGCTTCGGGTTCGCTATCAACGTCGCCACCAACGTCCCCGCTGGTCTGCCCTACGGTGCCGTCGCTGGCCGCACCGATGGAGGGTTTGGCAGCTTCGACACTCAATTCTCGTCTGTCTACCCTCTTGTGAACGGCACCGCCAATTACGATGCCCTGTACATGTTCGGCTACCAGGCCCACCACGAGATGTCCTCCATTGGCAAGGCGTTCACTAAGAACTTCTTTAACATGACCGACAAGCTCTACTCCTACTACCAGGGTTGCTCTGAGGGCGGTCGCGAGGGTTGGAGTCAGCTTCAGCGCTTTCCCGAAGAATGGAGCGGTGCTGTCATTGGTGCCCCGGCCATTCGCTACGGTCAACAACAGGTCAACCATCTTGTGCCACAGGTCGTCCAGCAGACTCTGGGATACTACCCCCCCAACTGCGAAATGTCCGAGTTGGTGACGCAGATTATCGACGGGTGCGACGCTCTGGATGGTCGCAAAGACGGAGTCATCTCGCGCAGCGACCTCTGCAAGTTGAACTTCGACCTCAAGTCCACTATCGGAAAGCCGTACTCGTGCGCAGCCAGCACCAGCATGGGCGTCTCGACTCCTGCGCAGAACGGCACTATCACCGCTGAGGGTGTCCGCGTCGCGCAGACCATTCTTGACGGATTGAAGGACTCCGAGGGTCGCCAGGCCTACTTCTGGTACCAAATTGGATCCGAGTTCACCGACGCTGAAACCAGCTACGACGCGACTACTAAGACCTATGGCATTGACATCTCCGAACTGGGCGGCGAGTGGGTTACTCACGGCCTGCAGCTGCTGGACCTCGACAACCTGTCCAACCTCGATAACGTGACCTACGACGTGCTCCGCGACTGGATGCTGGAGGGCCTGCAGCGGTACGAGGACGTGCTGCAGACGACCTGGCCCGACCTGTCGCGCTTTCAGGCTGCTGGTGGGAAGGTTATTCACTACCACGGTGAATCCGATAACTCCATCCCTGCGTCGTCGTCGATCCGTTACTTCGAGTCCGTGCGCAACACCATGTTCCCCAACACGACTTACAACTACGATGAATCGATCAAGGCCATCAACGAGTTCTACCGCCTGTACCTTGTGCCCGGTGCCTCGCACTGCAACACCAACTCGCTGCAGCCCAACGGTCCCTACCCTCAGGACTCGCTCGGTGACCTCATGAGATGGGTGGAGAAGGGAGTCGACCCCGTCACGCTGAACGGTACCGTGCTCACTGGCGACAACGCCGGCGAGCACCAGAACATCTGCTCGTGGCCTCTTCGTCCCCTTTGGAAGAACAACGGCACCACTCTGGAGTGTGTCGAGGACAAGGCGTCGATCCAGACCTTCCTTTACGAGCTGGACGCTTACAACATCACTATCTACTAATCAGTTCTCGCGATCACCTTGTCGATCGAGGTGACATGTCTGTACACTAATTAGTCTTCTTCTCTGATCTGTGTAGATCATTGTCTTTGTACTTAGGCTGTGTAGGATTTAATTACCACCAATATACTGTATCATAGTAGTTGGAATTTGTCTGCTAGATTGGTTTTATAGATACTTACTTCTATGTTACAAATTATAGCAATTGGTAAGCCAACGAGATTGCGCTCAGTCGTAACGCTATCCTCAACATGGAGAGATGATCACGTTGAGCTATCTTGAAATATGGTAGTCTCACCGCGGAACCTAATTACACGGCGGCATCCGGCCTAGGTCCAGACCTAGGCCATCAAGCACGTGTAGCAATGTACTGTACTCGTGTCGACATGATCACAATTTGAGGCCGTGCGAGAACCACCTTGATTTCTGACGTCATGACCGTTGACGGGGCGTACGGCAAACACGCGTCAGTCTAACCCAGCTAGGAAAAGGGCGGGTCGACCGTCCGCTTGCGCGGTCGGTATCAGCAAACCATGGATAGATTCATTGAGTCTCCAACCGGAAAAGTCCCAAGTTGACAATTCTCGAAGTCAAGTTGTTCTAATTGCTGCCGTCAGAATTTGTGACTATTATTGGTGGACTGAAGCATAATTCAGCGTCTTCGATAATATTCGAGTATAAATATTCTTCAGCTTGAAAGAACTATCTCCGAGCTCTATGGACACACGCTGCATAACATATTTACAAAATGATATCCACTACCACCAGGCAAACGCCTTACACGCATTTATAGTTCTTGCTATCGAGATGCACCAGGCCCAGATCGATGAAGCCCTCGAAATTCCAGTAGTCGGTCTGGTTACCCTGTCCACTCACGGTTCCATTTCCATAGAACTTGGCCGTCCAGTAAGAAGAGCCTTGGGTGTGCTGGTGGAAGGCATGCAGACCGGTGTTGAGGTTGCGTTCCCGCAAGGCAAACGTATTGTTGGAACCGGCCTGGATGGCCCATTCGCCGACAAAGACGGGGAACTTGCCATCGCCCGCGACGGACTTGGCTCGCGTGCAGATGTCTTTCGCCAGGGTGACGGACGTGGCATTCGTATCGTCGAACCAGTAGTTGTGAGAATCGAAGACGATGTTGGCATCGGTGGAGAAGTTGCCGGACCAGAATCTCTCGCCCTTGAAGCTATCCTGCAGCATGACGGGGATGCTGGGGTTCACTGCGGCGACATGGTCGATCACGGCTTGGTAGTATTTCAAGAGCCAGGCCGCTGCCTTGTCTGTCAGCGCGGCGGGGGTACCGAAGACAGAAAAGTCTCTGTTGTCGACGGCTTCGTTGGCGGGTTCCAGGCTGTAGGATTCGGGGTGCCCGGAATTCTGAATGTAGTCGATCACCGCGTCGACTGCTTGTAGGGAGTAGTCGAAATTGGTTTGGTTGTACCACCAGCCGTAGTGGCCAGTCGCCTCGCCGATCGTCAAGCCATTGGTGCCTCCCGGCAGTCCATGAATGTCGACAATGACATGCATGCCATATTGTTCAATAGCATACGTGGCGATCTCAGACAGGTACTTGGTTTGGTTGCCCGAGTAGAGCTGGGATCCGGGATAGTGGATCCAGGCAGCGTAGGTGGTAGGGATCCGCAGTGCAGTGATCCCAACTTCTGCAAGCTTGTCAACATCGGCGGTGGTGATCCAAGTGGCATAGTGTTCCTCGAAGACGGGTCCGCATTGTTGACCCAAGTTCTCGCAGAAACCCCATTCATCTGAAGCCCCTCCAGCATATTCAGCCCACCATGCACTGTTGATGGTCGACTCCTGCACCAGCCATCCGCCAAGGTTAGCTCCGTGGGCTTTAAACTGTCGCCAGTTGACGTAGCTGGAGCTTTTGCGGGAGGTTGTAGGAGCTCCCAGTGCTGTTGGGAGGGCCAAAGCCGCAAGGGCAAATCCAAACTTTCCCATGATGTATATGCGAGTGCAACCTAGACTAATAGATTGCTGACAATGGATTCAGGCTGTCTGGCTCTCCATTTCGAACAGCGAAGCAGCGCAATTTATGGTGCGAGCACAGGCTCCGTCGACGCGAATCCACAGTCCGAACCCTCAGCCATCGCTCCGTTGATTCTCTTGGAATTTCCGTAGTGACAAAGAGGATCGCTTGCTAAGAAACTAGCAAGCTCGCCAAGTCAAGCGAGAGATTCCTTCAGCCTTTCGCCGGGTGCCGACCCGTGATATCGTTGGCAATGGATCGACAGTAGACGGATGTCCCGTATTCACCGGAAAGTCCGACTTGTCATGGATTCTGCAGCAACACGAAGATTAGACAACGAATCTAATTGTAGATTGGAGGTGGGGTTAAGTTGGATCACACACTACCAGACTGCCAGAAGGGCGGCATGTGGTCATAACTCCATGCAATAATGGTCCACGACAGACCAGGATTCCCCGTGGGGAAGCAGAGCTGGTGGTCGGGGAAATGAACGAGCGGGAGAACCTCGGAAGAGAAAACCGGCAGTTGCTGTTGAGCGGTGACTAAGTGATTACTGACTAAGACACCGAAAAGTGCCACGACCCAAAGCGGTCTAGACTAGTTTCACCCGCGACGGTCTTTCGGGGTCAATTCACGCGAGTTTCTCGACGCTCTCCCCTCTTCTTGCCCCTCCCCACACTGACCACTGACTCCATTATCGTCCCACTTTTATGGAGGGGTAACTGGAAATGCTTCCTCCTGGGGCTATGAGAATGGGACAAAATGAGAATACCTCCCAGCTTGGGGCAGTCCTCATGACACTCGCCGAAACACACTCGCTACACCTACCATGGAGATAACGCGCTGCGGAATTCATGGTTTCCATGAGGTTCTGGGAATCGACGTCGACGAGATCCGCTTCTTCTGGCTCATCGCATCCACCCAACCAAATGCCTCGCAAAAAGCCTACCGCGTGGTACTGACTACTGACGAGTCGAGCCTGCGTGATGACATTGTCAGTCCCTCGAAACTGGCCTGGGACTCTGGCTACGTGACGAGCAATGAGCAGCGCAACATCATCTGCAAACCCGACAACGGCTTCCAGTCGACTTGCAGCTACTACTGGCGAGTGACCGTCTGGGATCAATCGGATCAATCCTTCCACAGCGCACCAAACCACTTCTTCACGGCCTACCCCCGTTCTCATCTCCTGCCTCCCTACAGCATGAACCAGACCTACATGCCTCATACCGCCCTCATCTTCCGCACCTGGTTCGAGGATGAGCCCAACCGCTGGAAGGCTGTGTGGATTGGCGACGGAGGAGACAAGCCCATTTACGTGCGCAAATCGTTCGACCTCTCGCGGACGCCGGTACGCGCCATCCTATTTGCATCGGGACTGGGTCACTTCAATATGAGCGTGAATGGCCGAACGGCCTCCGACCACCGCCTCGATCCCGGCTGGACCAACTACCACCGTCGTGTACAATTTACCTCCTACGACGTGACTGCCCAGCTGCAGAAGGGCCAGAATGTGCTGGGCGCTCATGTGGGCAATGGCTTCTATGCGGGTGACAAGGGCGATGATCGCTTCTTCTGGCCGATGTACGAGGATAATACCTATGTCCGCTACGGCAACGAGCTGTGCTTCTTCAGTGAGCTGCATTTGTTCTATGAGGACGGTGAGCACACCACCTTGATCTCTGATCCCACTTGGCGCGTGAGCAAGAGTGCCACCACACTTGCCAACATATATGCCTCCGAAACCCACGATCGCCGCCTGTACCCGACCGGCTGGGACGCCCCCGGATTCGACGATGCGCACTGGGCTCCCGCCAAGCCTCTCACAGGACCACGAGGTCACATTTATTATCAGACTCAACCTCCCGTCGTGCTACACGAGACCTTTAAGCCTATCAAAACCCACAGCCCAAGCCCTGGCATTGTCTGCTATGACCTAGGGCAGAATGCATCCACAATGGTTGAAGTTGTCGTTGAGGGTGCCGCGGGTTCCGAAATTATTGTCCGATACAGCGAGACAGTCAAGGAGGATGGCACTGTTCTAATGCCGGATCCCTTGTTCAAAGAGTTCGAGACGGGTGTTTTTTCCCGCATCTATCTGGCCGGCACGGGCGCCCCTGAGGTGTGGGAGCCGGACTTTAGCTTCACCAGTGCACGTTATATCCAAGTAGAAGGTGTTTCACTAGACGGGGAAGATGGCCACCCGAAAATCATATCGGTTGTTGGCCGCCACATCTCATCTGCTGCAAGACAACTAGGAACGATGAAGACCGATAAGGAGGATGTGAACGCCTTGTTGAATGCATGCTATTGGACATTTAGCAGTAACCTGTTCAGCTACCATACCGACTGTCCACAGATTGAGAAATTCGGCTGGCTGGAGGTCACCCACCTGCTGGCCCCCGCAACACAATACATCCGCGACATGGAGTCCCTGTACACCAAAATCCTGGATGATATTCTTGACTCCCAGGAACCCAGTGGATTGGTTCCTACTATGGCTCCCGAAATTCGCTACATGTGTGGACCACTCCACGATACCATCACCTGGGGCTGCGCCTTGTGTTTCCTCCCCGACATCCTTCGACAATACTATGGCTCGACACATGTCATCGCCAAGGTCTTCCCCGCGGCAGTGCGCTATATGGAATACATGCGCACTAAGGAGCGACGGGGAGGATTGATCGAGCACGGCCTTGGCGACTGGGGACGGGGCATTGCCCACGGCAATAACCAGGCTAACATTGAGACGGCCATCTACTACCGCTGCCTGCAGAACGTGGAGATGATGGCACGGGAGCTGGGCGAGACGCAGAAGGCCGACGAGTTCCAGCAATGGGCGGCGCGCATTTACGCCGCATACAATCACCACCTCCTCGTCACCGACGACCCCTCCCGGCCGCATGCGTATTACACCTCGCTGGACAACTACCCAGAGCGCGACCGGGACGCAATTGCGCAAGCAATAGCGCTGCAATTTGGGATGGTGCCACAAGAGCATCGCGCCGATGTTATGGCCGCCTTCATGGACGACGTCGCTGACGGCCGCATGCGGTCCGGCGAGATCGGGCTGCGTTTCCTGTTCAACACGCTGGCGGATGCCAAGCGTCCCGATCTGGTGCTGCAGATGGCTCGCCAGGAGGAACATCCATCGTATATGCGGTTCCTGCGGCGCGGGGAAACCACCCTGCTTGAGTTCTGGCAGGATGCCTGCCGCAGCAAATGCCACGACATGTTGGGAACCATTTACGAGTGGTTTTACGCCGCCGTGCTGGGGTTGAAGCCAACCGGACTGGCGTATCGGACTTTTGTGGTAGACCCACCCTACGAAGTGGAGTTCGACCACGTTCAGGGCAGCGTGGACTGTCCTTACGGCTTGATAACTGTCGAATTCACGCGCGATGCGCAGGGTGCGGTGACGCTTAGTCTGCGTGTGCCGTTCGGGACGACGGCTGTCGTCAAGCTGCCCGAGAACGCAAAGAACTCGGCTTATCTTCGAGCCGGCGAAGCAAAGCAGTCTGTGGAGGGCGATGACGTGCGACTAACCCACGGCGAGTATTCTGTTTTCGTGCAGCTGTAATTATGATAAATATGTATATAGAGGCTAGACTAGTTCAATGGGGAGTCATTTCGATTACCAGTCATCGTCATGGTCCGATTTTCTCCGCCAGAATCGAAGTTTCGTGGAGTCAGATGATCCCGATGCGAGCATGGACTCGTATCTCGGTCTGAAGGCCACCGAAGAGTACTTCAATCCTGGCGAAAGTCGAACTCGGCATTAGTGTGTGAGTTGGTCGGACATGGCCAGGATCGTTAAGCGAATAGATCCAGCAGTGTGAGGGTTGACGACACCCATTGGGCAGGTAGGGATGGTCATGGTAATTCGGGGAACGGTTTCCCGAGCTTTTTTTCCCCTCCAGAATCCCCACTCATACGAAAACCGGAGGCGAGGGCAAGCCGTGCAGAGGCAAATAGACGGTCAGACACCAACCAAGGGCGTGTGCGCTTCCACAATCTTTGAAGCAGTTCGGAAAATCCGAGTCTGCCCAAGCTTTAGTCGACTTTAGTCGAACTTGGCGGGCGAGGCTAAACCGTCTTGGAACAAGCCACTTCCCGTCTTAGGGCTTGCCCCCCCCCATCCATCTCGATTGTGACTGCGTTTTGCGGTGTCTCGGAGATCCGACTACCTTGGGCATAACAGCCAACTTCCAGTGGCATAGCTGTCAGCCATCCAGAACTCTTCCCCTCCCCATGGGGCGTGACCCGGTCTCGGGTGAGAGAACCCCGAATCGGCTTGAATCGGCGCTGGTGCTACCCCAGATCTCATGACGGCCGGCGCCTACTCGGCTATTCCCCACGGCAAGTAGCCAGGCTCGCTGCTTACCATGGCCCATGGGGGACAAGAGGAATGAGACGACCCCAGATTTGTCCCGGATTTTGGCCCAGACCCCCAGTCAACCACGCTAGATATTGCTTGTCGGGGCTGGAGTCAAGCCAAGAGGTCACCCGCCACCCATGGCCTAGCGCATTGCAAGCTTCATATAAGATGCAGACTCTGCCGTTTCCTCGAAAAACCACAGAAGATCAACGTCGTCTGTCTCTCTAGGAAAATGACTAAAATTTCGACATTGTTGTCCGCTGTCTTCTTGGCCATCGGAGGTGAGTTTGTCATGTACCTCATACCTGCAAGTTCAGATCATGGGTATTGACACGAGTCTGGTCGATCAAAAGGCTTTCTCTTCGGCTATGACAGCGGTATTGTCACCTCGACCATCGCCCAGACCGAGTTCATCAAGTACTTCTCCAATCCTAGTGACACCGTCACGGGTGGTGTCGTCTCCGCCTTTCAGGGTGGCGCCATCTTAGGCACTATCATCAACATGTTTACCGGCGATAGACTGGGCCGCAAGCTGTCCGTCTTCGCCGGAGCCTGCATCTCCGTGTTCGGATGTGCGTTGCAGGCGGGCGCCGTCAACATGACCATGCTCATCATCGGCCGATTCATCGCCGGAGCAGCTGTGGGCATGCTGACGTCTACTGTGCCTATGTACGCCGGTGAGATGGCCGAGGCGCAGACCCGCGGCATGATGTCTGGCCTGCTGCAGTGGATGTTGAGCTGGGGATATCTGGTGGCGCAGTGGTTGGGCTATGGATGCTCTTTTAACAACACCGCCTTCCAATGTATGTTCTGTATTCTCTTGCTCCCCCAAACGTTTACTAACCTTTGGCTGCTTCTGCAGGGCGCTTTCCACTCGCCTTCCAATGCGTCCCCGGCGTTGTGCTTATGTGTGGTGTGTGGTTCCTCCAAGAATCCCCGCGGTGGCTCATGGAACAAGACCGCCACGAAGAAGCATTGGCAACTCTCCACAAGCTCCACGGCGACGGAACCCCCGAGAAGACCAGCTACATTGAGCTCGAATATCAGGAAATTCGGGACACGATCGAGGCGGAACGTGCCCACAACTCCATCA